CAGCTCTCCAACAGAAGCAGCTCTATGTTGGTCATGAAGACTGCAGCTGGTAGCACAATGAGGCCCGTTTAGGCCAACACCTACAAATGTGCTCTGAACGAACCTGTGTGTTCTGCTGCACGGCTTTATTCCCATCTGTCTCAAGTTAGGGGGCAGGTTTACAGACGTAGCTTGTTCTCATTGTGTTTTCATTGCTTATGTTAAAGAGACACTAATTTAGCCACTGTATATTCAGCTTTATGCTAATCCTTAGTAAGGATTTATGTTAGTTTACAATTAAAGCAGCACAAACTAACAATTATCATATCTAGCTGCCACGACAGTCGTTTGTTTCTGAGGGTGTTAGACGTGTGTTTGTCAGTCAGAAACATCTGTGTGAGCGTTGTTTCCTCCGTCATCTGTTGGTGTTTGTTTTAATGTCAGTGTTGCTATAAAGTGGCTGTGGCTCGTTATCCTTAAGCCTCACCATTTGGTCCTCATTAAGCTCCATTCCTGTGGGTTAAATAGCTCCTCCAGCCTCATGCTCCAGTGTGGAAGGCTGATGGAGGCACAATGTGATGGCCCAGGCGATCAGCACAGACCTGAAGGACATGTTCTGTTGTTTTGCTGACTTTGTGTTGGGTAGGGCAGATGATGCTGTTTTGACATACATTTAATCATTTCCTGTTAAGTAGCTGGATGACCAAAATGGATTTTCCTGTGTTCTTTAGGGTGAAAGGTTCCCTTCCTGTGCTGCTAGCTTAAGTGTTGCACACATTTTTTTGAAACAAAGTCTAAAAATGATGGTTTCCCCTGGCGTTATGAGCAATAAATGTATAATCGCTGAATTTAGGCCGCCTCATCTGCATGATGAAATCTTGTATGGACCTCACGCCATATTTTTACTAAAACATCACAATGAATTCTTTTACCGTTGTTAACCCTTCTCTCGTGTGCGTGTGTGTGTGTGTGCGCGCGCGCGCGCGTGTGCGGCGTTGTATTTTTTAAGTTGTGTCCATCGGTTCTTCAAAATCCATGCATAACAGTGGTTTTACCACAGGAATAAAATCACCGTTACTTTTCAACATATAACGGATGAATGGCCTTGTCCCTGTAACTTGCTCCTTGAAATGTTTATGAAAAATCTGATGCGAGGTTAAGCCGTTATCATTACGTAATTCAAATGTTGATTTAAGCAGACTAGCTTGTCGTTTTTTCGGATTAAAACTCATTTATCTTCTTTCCTTGATATGGGCTAGATGCAGCTGGATAAGTGGGAGATGAAAAGCCAGCCCGCCAGCCAGCCAGGAAGAGACAGAAAGAATGGGGTGGGGTATGAGTCAGTCTTTCAGGGTGGCTCACCTGTTTATGGAAGCAAAGATGGTCAGCAGGAAGAGACAATCAGTGTGTTTACATGCAGCCAGTAACCATTTTAAAACCTGAATATTCACAATAATCCGGTTCCGCACGGCCATGTAAACACCGCCAAAAGCCCGGATATGCTCATAACCGGGTTTTTAAAAACCTGGTTACTACACCTGGGGTAACCCTTTTCTAACCCGAATGTTTGGTCGTGTAAACGCATATCGGGATATCCCCATCAAAGCGTGTGTTTGGAGGGTCTCACGTATGAAAGGGAGGGGCTGTGGGAACTGTGGGGTGAGGTATCTTAACACAAAAGAGTTATCAATCCTAACTTGACATAACGTGCTGCAGATTGAATACATCAAAGCAGATCATCAACAAACATCGTGACATAAGGGGACTACAATCAATAACTTCATGGGTCATTACACAACAGTCATCAATTCATTTCTTGACATATGGGGTCATTAAAGGTCATATCAGAAAAGGTCATAAAACAATACACCTGTCAAGTTTGACGTAAGGTGGTTTGGGGGAAAGGTCATAAAGGCCAAAGAACAATAGACCTGTCAAAAATTATGACGAAGGGTGGTTTCTTCATCTCTCTTTCATCAGAAACTATTGATTGCAATGAATAATTGATGGTAGATAATGGAATGTAGGTAGTGAGGTTCAGAGATTTTTACAGCTCATTCCAGTTGTTGGAAGCAGCAAACAGGAATGAGGAGCTGCATTCAAGGAACAACTGCATGTATATTAAATGGTGTCATCCGCATATAGATGTATATGAGAACTGTCAACAGCATGAACAATGTTATTAATATAGATTTTGAATGAGGTTGGGCCCAGTAATGACCTTTGAGGAACGCCCATAGGTAGAGGTAGAGGAGCAGATTGGTAACCCTCTGTTCTTACTTTTTGCGCACGGCCTAAGCGATAACTTCCAAACCATGCCATGGATGCCTGAGAAAGTCCAGTATGTTTGAGCCTGCTGAGTAAGATGTTATGGTCCACAGAGTCAAAGGCTTCAGCCAAGTCAGCAAACACAGTCACACAATATTCCTTATTGTCAATATGGTGTCATTTAGCACTCCAAGTGTTGCAGAGACACATGCATGCATGCATGCATGCACGCACACGCGCACACACACACACACACACACACACACACACACACACACACACATCACCATTTGGTAATGTGTAAATTATTATCTGTGGATATTGGAGCAGGATTACATTCTAGAGTAGACATGGTTGTCCTGTTGCTGGGCCGTCTGGCTCATTTACAGACTCAGTCTCTGCATCCAGTGAGCCACACTCATCTGTAGACTTTAAAGTCATCCTAATCAAAAGTTCTTCATGCTTTGTAGCGCTCTTTAAAAGTTTTCCTCTGCACTTCAGCTGTGTTTTCTCTCATTTCCAGCCCAGTCCTTGTACCTAACCCTGACTTCATATTGTGAAGTTTGTGCTTTAAAAAAGGGAGCGTAGGACAAAAGATGTTTCAGTCGTTAACAACAACCCTCAGCAGCAGATAAACAGCATCTGAAAATTATTTCAGCAACCCAGAAAACATCAACCATAGAAAGTATCTAAGACGTAGCATCCAGTAAGCTCTTTAGAATCCACTTTTGGTGTTTACGTCATCAGTGTTTTCAGACTGTCTAGCAAAACATATCCGATGTGAACACAACGCTGGTTCATCCCTTCAGGCTGCTGTGTCTGAGTAAGTTGAAAGGTCAGAAAGGTGTTAGTGGTTTTAGAAACGCTGCAGACAGATTGATTCAGATCTCGTCAGGAAGTGACTCATCACTAGACCCTCAGGATGTCAGCCCTCCCTTACACACAGACCAGCTCAGCTCTGTGACTACCTCACCTACTCCACACAATGATGGAAATGAATCTCAGACTCTTTATGTTGAAATAAAACAGTCCAAACAAAAACTACACATTCAGTTTCACATTTTTAACCCTCTGGAGGCAGGCGTTGCAGATTTGCAACGTTAAAATTTACTTACAGTACCTGGTTACATGAGAGGGTTAAACATTTTTGAGAATATGGCAGTTAAATAAATGTTTGGTTCTGAGTTATTTTTAATAGATGAAACAATTTTTGTCAAATGTGACAAACCCGGTCTTTCTTTGACACGTTCTCTGAGATGTGTAACGTTTAAAAATCTCTTGTGTTGTGTCCTCAGAGCGATGAACGAGTGACCGGAGGAGACAGCGCCAGCGAGGTTTCTGTCTCTTGCTCCTCCACAGATGACACGGCTAGCGTCGGCCCGTCCAGCTCCAGCCCAGAGGACAGCCAGGGCCTGGGTTGTAGCTGGAGCCCAGAGGAAGGCACTCAGCCCAGGGACACTGCCGGCGTAGACGTTGGTGGAGGAGCAGGAGAGGCTGAAGAGGAGGCAAAAGATAGAGTGACAGAGGTGCCACGGCGGTCCTGTCTTTTCCGGAACAGCATCCGCTCACTGTCACCTCCTCGTCGCCACAGCTGGGGTCCAGGGAAGAACAACGGAGGAGAAGCAGAGCTGAACCAGAGAAGGTGAGTGCTGAGCCTTGATAGAGTGGATCTTATCACGGACACAGTCCGGTGCTGAATGGTATGTGTGAGTGGACCTGATGTGTGTGGATCAGATGTCAGCGTCGATAGAGCTCGCTGGGGTCGTTCTTCCTGCTCCGGGTGGGGAGTTGGACCCCCACACGGAGCAGCTGTGCTGCCACTTGTCAGGTGGCTGCTGGGAGTAACACACATGCACGCGCACACACACACACACACACACACACACACACACACACACACACACACACACACACACACACACACACACACACACACACACACACACACACACACACACACACACACACACACAGGGTGTAGATTAGTGAATTATAAACAAGATCCCAACCTTCATTTCTACAGATGTTTTTTCTTCCTGTGTGTTTCAGCCCACTTTCAGAAAACACATTAATTATTTCATAAAACAACAAAGAGGAAACTTTATCCTCAGTCCTGAAGAACCTGGTTAGGGTGAATTAGAGCCACAGACCTGCGTGAGCTCCTCTTTCACCCTGCCTTATCTTCCATTTGATCACTGCTTAAAACAGTTCCTGTTGGGGAACCCAAATTAAATGAGACACATTTGTGTGGCTGGAGGTTTAATATGGACACAGTGTTCTGCTGAGCGTCTCTGTCCTCAGAACAAGCTGTCTGTCCAGCCGTCTTCACCCAGCAGAGTGACGCTGACAGAAAGAGATCAGGACAGGCTGAAAGCTGCACTGTTACCAGCTAGGGCCGAGCCATATCATACCTTTCACGGTAATACCGGTACAATGTTGGGCAATGAGTAGAAAATGAAATATTGCGATAGGATAGAATGGGTGAAAAGCGCTTGCGCAGTGCCTTTGTTTTCATACGCTCATACGCGCATGGCGGCGACGGAGGAGAAGGGCGAAAGCGGCTCGTTGAATGAAACAGAATAGTTTTTTTTAAAGGTGCTACTTCAGCGGTGTGGAGCTGATTCGGTTTCCGCCCGTCAGATACCCAACAAAGCACAATTTTTTGTAGAACATGCAAGCGGGCCGTCGTGGCGAAGGGAGGAAACACCACAAACTTATTTAATCATTTGAAGCAGAAGCACTTTTTGGAGTACAACAAAGCTCTTAAAGCACGCGAAGATGCGTCCCCTTCAACAAGTGCGGTGGTACGACCAAAGAAGCTGGCTCAACAAACAATCGGCACAGCTATAAACAGCTGCACCCCGTATGACAAAAGTAGCAAACGCTGGGGAGAACTAACTAATGCAGTAACACACTGCTTAGCCAGGGATATGATGCCCATTCAGAGTGTGGAAAAGGAAGGTTTCACAAAGATGCTTAAAACGTTTGATTCACACTACAAACTGCCCACCAAGAAATACTTCTCTAAAGTCGCTTTGCCTGCTTTATATGAAGAGGTTCGTACTGAGGTGGCAAATGCATTATCGTCTGTGGAGTTTTTGCGTCCACCACGGACATGTGGTCAAGCCGAACATCAGACCCCTACATGAGCCTCACCATACACTACGTGGACAACGACTGGAAGCTAAAAAAACAAGTGCCTTGAAACAAGTTTTTTCCCCGGGGACCATACCGGGGAAAATGTAGCCAAAGGCCTAAACGAGTTCCTCAGCTCGTGGAATCTTCAGGAGGAAAAACAGGTGTGTGTGACGACAGACAGCGGGGCCAACGTTGTGAAGGCTGTCGCACTCAACAACCGGACCAGACTTTCATGCTTCGGACATCACCTGCACACTGCCATAGGTAAATTTCTTAGCATGTCAGATTAAGCATTTCTTGCATTAGTTTAAATGATAGTAATGTTTAAGGCTGGATGTGTGCATTTGTGCTGTAAGACCTTTTAAGTTTGTGTGTGTGTGTGTGTGTGTGTGTGTGTGTGTGTGTGTGTGTGTGTGTGTGTGTGTGTGTGTGTGTGTGTGTGTGTGTGTGTGTGTGTGTGTGTGTGTGTGTGTGTTATACATAAAACTTAAATGTCACACATTCCACGCTGCATGAATATTGGTGTTGAGCAATGAACTGTATTCCTTTTAATTTGTCTTTTTTAGAAAGAAGTGTGAAGGACCAAACGTCAGTTGGAGTGGGAAAGAAGGTTGCTGGTGCCTTTTGCCACAGCTAGAAGCACCAGCGTGATCTGCAGGCTGCCCACAAAGAACTGGGCCTACCAGAACACAAACTCATAACTGAATGTTGCACTCGTTGGGGCTCAAAGCAGAGAATGATCCAGCGACTGCTGGAACAAGGAAAGGCTATAACACCGGTTTTAGCTGCTGATAAAACCATGTTGACATGGCAAGACATTCAGGTGCTTGACTCAGTCAGCGCTGTATTGAGTCCACTTCTAGAGTTTACAGATGCCTTTTCTGCTGGAGTATGTGACCATTTCATGTGTTAAGCTTGTTCTTCAGATGTTTAACCTGTTAAAAGTAAAAGAGAGTTACTCTCAGCTGACCAAAGACATCAAAACAGCAATACTTGACTACTTGTTGTTTCTCCTGGTTTTTTTCTGACTCCACTGAGCCAATGTTTCCAGCTTCACCTCTGTCTGTCTGTCTGTCTGTGTGTGTGTGTGTGGGTGTGTGTGTGTGTGTGTGTGTGTGTGTGTGTGTGTGTGTGTGTGGGTGTGGGTGTGGGTGGTGTGTGTGTGTGTGTGTGTGTGTGTGTGTGTGTGTGTGTGTGTGTGTGTGTGTGTGTGTGTGTGTGTGTGTGTGTGTGTGTGTGAGGAACATTCAGCACTCATCGTGTGATTCTGATGTGTTAGAAGATCTGATGGTGCTATCATCAGCTGAAATGGTTCATTCATCATCTTCTTCCTTACATGCCATCCTTTCTCACCCATCTTCCACCACTTCCTGTCTCTGCTCTCATCACCCCCAGTTCCATTCGTAGCCCTGGTGAGAGGAAGCCGGCCTTTCACAGGAGAAGGTACTAATAAATCACATTCACTCACATCGACTTGTTTCTGCCACAGATGGTGAATATATGCAGGTTTCTGTGAAGCTGCTGCGTTTTAATATATGCTTGCTGCACCGCTCCTGCTTTCTGCTGCATCCCTGCAGGCGTCGGCTCTGAAAAATGCTGCTCTCTTCTCACTCCTGTTGGAATGTGCATAAAGCACTGTGGAAAAAAGCTGTGGCTGAGGCGCTGCTGTTTTGTATTGCAGTGGTAATAACAAGAAGCCAAATGGAAAAAGAGGAGTTTAGCTCCAGAGGCTCAGCTGTATTGCTAGAGATTGAGAACAGAAGGGTTCTTTTTTTCCTCTCAGTGTACTAAATTCTCCTGGGGATTTTCTGACGGCACTAAAAGCGTCAGAAGAGTTTTGAGTTAAGTCCTGGAGGAGAAGACGCTGTGCCACAACATTAAAACCAGAATGGAAGTGTAACTGTGGCATGCTGAGCTGCACCCAGACCCAACAGGGGATGGGAGACTCTGCAGCCATTAGTTATTGATTAAATGAACCAGAGTGGATCTGATCCAGAGCCAAACCATCGTGGTGGACTTGTGAGAACGGCCGGATTTGGAACCCTCTGTTGCTGCTTCTGGTTGAGTGGACTGGTTGTTGAAGAACGGAAGAACGAGGAGTCAGGAGTACAAATCTAAAGCAGTGTTTGTTTTCAAATGTTCATCCGCCTCGTTGATCTGACTGGAAAAGGTGGTTTGTTGTTGTTTGAATGGGCTGAAATAGAAGCTCCACAGAATGATGGACAGTGCTGAGGCTGATGGGTAAAAGGTGAAGAATTAACGTTTTCATTCTCCTTATAGGGTTCTTCTGGTTTTGATTTTTGTCACTTAAATGTTTCAGACGAGCAAACAGAGAAAACCTGATGTAGAGAAGTAAGTGACCCCTGGTGACACTCCCTCACATACAACAGCTGGTGATGATCTCATCAGTGGACAGCAGCTTTGTCATAAGTCAGCCACATCAGAGGGTTCTCCAGCAGGTGCGGCGGGCGTGCATGCGTCATTTACCCAAACCATGCCATTCAGTCAAACAAGGCAAGCAGAGATAGAATTCCTCTCACTGATCGGACTTATGTTAAGCATAATTCTGCGCACACGAAGACGAATGAGAGACCTGGATGATGAAGCTCAATGGTTAAAAGGAATCACGGAAGCTGTGTGATGCGCTCCGTCACGCGTCTAGACGGTACCGTAGGAGGCGAGCTGCCATGGTTTGCCGCATGCTACAGGAGCGAGCTATCTAGGTGCGCACAGCATCCCCGGTCCCCTCCTCCTCCTCCCCCTCCTCCCTGTTCGGAACTCAACCTCACCACTCTGAAGCAGCCACCTTGTCCGTGACAAGTCCATACCTGTTACTAGGGGCTTCGTCCGGTTTAATTACGGAAAACGTTATCCGGATGTTTGTATTCAGACACAAAGGTCTTACGGACAGGGTTCGGAACATTTCCGTTTTTCATGGCCTGTCTAAAGGGGGCTTTATAAAATGAAAATTCATGGATGGCAATTTTAATGACAATTTTTAAAGCTTTGATATTAAACATGTTTTAAAAGCAAACCTGCGGCTGGATGGTAACTAAATTGAGAATACGAGTTTGGATGCGTGGATGGAATTATTTGAAGGTTTCTTTCAGAGAGTTGGAAGTGTTCTGGATGAAATGATGTTTTGCGGCTAACTGAGTTATTCACTTAGAGAAAACAGCATCAAACGCATTCCTGTGTTCTACCTCACCCAGACAGGACCCTCTTGTGGATCCGGAGATCAGGAGAATGCGTTCATCCAAGATGACACTCCGTCCGGCAGGGGAGACGCGAGTGTCCGATCATCTGGTCCAAAGATGTCCCGGGTACACAGTTGTCAAGTGTTTGGCAGGTGGACGTTCTAGTCTTAACTTAACTCAGAAATCAATGACTCTGGGTAAAATCTTCGTTAGCTGGTTACAGTTGTGTTTATTCTTAGCTATTCTGGTCGGCGTGACTGGAACAGCAGGTGGAGGTTTTAGGGACGGCCGTTCCTCTTTCCCCCGTGGTGTTGGTTCAAGAGCTGACGAAGCTGGTGATGGTTACAGTTTTACCAAGCTCTCAGGACACTCCCACTCTCTCCGGAAGAAAGCTTTGATCATGCGTCAAAAACGTGTTGCAGTTATCGTTTATCTGGACTCTGTGTTAGCTGGATAAGGTGAACTGACCTTCTTTGCTGAACACATCTTTTACTATCATCAACCATAATCATTATTATTATTATACCCAAAGCATAGATTCATTTCATGTAATTAAAATACCATTATACTGAACCAAGTCATCATTTATGAGATTATATTAAACAGTAGTAAAATCAATGAGTTTTATTAATTATTATTATCGTGACTTGAAGTGTTCTCCTCCTGGGATGGAACAGCAGCAGATATGGATATGATCTTGCAGACATCGTGGCTCCTTGGGTTAATCTGAGGATTTAAAAGTACTGTTTGACCCAGCTTGACCTAGCTCGATAGATGTGCCCTTTGCCACAAATTAGAGGACCTTCGGTGACGCTACATTTCTTATTCATTGATTTTTTGAACCATGACCTCTGACCATCAACCTCATGAGTCTTTAGATGTTCTGGATCCTTTTGTTCTTGAGCCTGATGTATTTCTTTTTGAGATAATAATAAAAAAAATAATAATAACACATTTTATTTAAAAGCACATTTCTGGTCACTCAAGGACACTGTACAGAATAAAAACACAAATCATTCAGTAAGTAAACATACGTAAACATGAACAAACAAGGCACTCTAAAATTCAAAGTTGATATGTGGTTATGAAGAGGTGAGTTTTGAGTTTTTTTTTTAAATTCTGTGATTGAGTTAATGTTGATGAGAGGGGGAAGGGAGTTCCAGAGTTTGGGAGCGGTGCAGCTGAAGGCTCTACTCCCCATGGTGCTGAGACGAAAGGAGGGCACAGAGAGATGAATGGAGGAGGAGGACCTGAGGGAACGGGACGAGGTGACGATGTGAACGAGATCTGTGAGGTAGTGAGGGGCGAGGTTATGGATGGCCTTGAAGGTGAGAAGGAGAATCTTCAGTAATGAACTGAGTGCAACCTGATAGGTAGGACTGAAACCACTGAATTGGGATGTTAGCCATGCCGATGGAAGATAACCTATGGAGGAGAATGGAATGAGATATTGTGTCAAAGGCCGCACTCAGATCAAGGAGGACCAGGATGGATAGTAGACCGGAATCAGCAGCAATGAGGAGATCGTTAGTTATTTTGAGGAGGGCTGTTTCTGTGCTGTGAAGTGGGCGGAAACCGGACTGGAAGGGTTCATAGAAGGAGTTTAGTGTCAGATGGGTGTGGAGCTGGGTAGGGACTATTTTTTCCAAAACTTTGGAAACAAAGAGTTGGTTGGAGATGGGGCAGGGATTAGTAAAAATGTTAGGATCCGAACCAGGTTTTTTAAGTATTGGAGTAACTGCAACAGTTTTGAAGATAGAGGGAACAATACCGGAGGAAAGGGATGCGTGTATGAGAGCGGAGACGAGAGGGAGCAGGGAGGGGAGGCAGGTTTTAACCAAGGCCATGGGAAGGGGGTCGAGAAGGCAGGTAGAAGGCTTAGGCTTGTGGATAATATCTGATATCTCAGAATCACTGGGAAGTTGGAAAATGGAAAATAACTGTGTTGGTTCGGGAGGATCATATGGGGAGGTAGGGGGGATGCTTTGGTTGATTGCACGGTGAATGTTTATTATTTTTTCGTTGAAGAACAGAAGAAGGGCATTACAAGTAGCAGTAGAGCACATGTGTGGGGGCAGAGTATCGGATGGCTGGTGAATTTTATTGATAATGGAGTACAATGACTTAGTGTTGCCTTGATTGGAGTTGATTAGACAGGAGTAATACTGTTGTTTGGTTAGTATAATTAAGTTCTTATACCGAGTCATATGATTTTTATATAGTTCTTTGTGAATGGTGAGACCAGTTTTTCTGTAGAGGCGTTCAAGCTGCCTGGATTTGGTTTTCAGCGTCCGGAGTTGAGGGGAAAACCAGGGAGCAGACTGACGGAAAGTAACAGAACGGGTTTTAACTGGAGCAAGGGAGTTTAAAATGTGAGCTAACTGATCAATGTAGAGAGCAGCCGGGTCATCAGGAGAGGAGAGATTGTCCGGTAGCTGAATATTATCAATATAGGAGGATAAAGTGTCGAAATTGATGTCCTTTATATTCCTAAAAGAAATGAGCCGGGTTGGTTTGGTAAAAGAAAGCTGGGTTACAATATTGAAAGAAATACAATAGTGATCAGTGATGTGGAGGTCATCAGCTGCACAGTTAAGAGGGGTGAGACCAGAGCAGCACAGCAGATCCAGGCAGTGTCCTTTGGAGTGAGTTGGAAAGTTGATGTGCTGATTAAATCCAAGGTGTCCAGGCAGGATGAGAAGTCTTTGGTGAGGGGAAGATCGCTGTTGTCCATGTGTATGTTAAAATCTCCAAGCACTATTACATTAGATGAGAGTGTAGATAAATGAGTGAGCAGTACTGAGACTTCTGACAGAAAGTCTTTGTGAGGTTTAGGGGGGCGGTAGATTAATCCATTAAGTAGGTCCATTAAGTTTAAAAACCAAATACTCAAAGGAATTAAAATCAGAGACAGACACTGGCAAAACTTTCCAATTCTCGCGATAGATTATCGCAAGACCTCCTCCGCGAGAACCGCATGGTTTGGTGAGGTAAACAAACCCGGGAGGAGTAGCGTCGTTGAGCTGGGAGAAATCAGCTCGCTGCTGCCAAGTTTTGCAAAGGCACATGATTCCACGGTCCTTGATGAGATCGTGAATGAGATGACCTTTCCCAGTGAGAGAGCGGATGTTGAGAAGGCCGAAGTTGACGGTGGTGCTGTCACATCCATGAGCGTTAGCTGTCCTGGCGAGGCTGGCTAATGAGGAGTGATCAGCTGTTCGGCGGTATGAGTTCCTGTGAGGACGACGGCGAGTGGTGGACCAGAAAGAATTGATTGAGGCGGAGTTGTGGTAGTGGAAATTCCTGCGTGAGCCGCGGTGGACATATCTCCGACGGAGAAGATGAGAGATATCCGGGTTGAGATGCAGTGAAGCCGGTTGAGATCCAGGGCGGTGGTGAATCCTGAGGAGCTCAGCGGCGGTGTACTGGAGGAAGGCAGCAGCAGGTCGGTGGAAGATGAATGATAAAATCCAGATGAGTGCGGACCACACGTGAATAGCGTTGGTCCACATAATAGAGGTTAGGGTTGATATAGATATCCACAGTCCAGTCAACAATCCGATAGTGTCATTCCAACATATAAAATCAAAGCTTACCGGTGAGCAGTGGCAGCCAAACGCGCCAGCGTTCACTCAATCCGGTGGGCGTGTCGATGAGATGGTTTATCCCAGCTCGTGCTGTCAGACTCCTTCTGTTGAAGTGATTTTTGTAATTCTTCAGGTCTGGTGATGACCAGGTCTGGTGGTGACCAGGTCTGGTGGTGACCAGATCTGCTGGTGACCAGGTCTGCTAGTGACCAGGTCTGGTGGTGACCAGGTCTGCTGGTGACCAGGTCTGGTGATGACCAGGTCTGCTGGTGACCAGGTCTGGTGGTGACCAGGTCTGCTGGTGGCCAGGTCTGCTGGTGACCAGGTCTGGTGATGACCAGGTCTGGTGATGACCAGGTCTGCTGGTGACCAGGTCTGGTGGTGACCAGGTCTGGTGGTGACAAGGTCTGCTGGTGACCAGGTCTGGCGGTGACCAGGTCTGCTGGTGACCAGGTCTGGTGATGACCAGGTCTGCTGGTGACCAGGTCTGCTGGTGACCAGGTCTGCTGGTGACCAGGTCTGGTGATGACCAGGTCTGGTGATGACCAGGTCTGCTGGTGACCAGGTCTGGTGGTGACCAGGTCTGGTGGTGACAAGGTCTGCTGGTGACCAGGTCTGGTGGTGACGAGGTCTGCTGGTGACCAGGTCTGGTAGTGACCAGGTCTGGTGGTGACCAGGTCTGCTGGTGACAAGGTCTGCTGGTGACCAGGTCTGCTGGTGACCAGGTCTGGCGGTGACCAGGTCTGCTGGTGACCAGGTCTGGTGATGACCAGGCCTGGTGGTGACCAGGTCTGGTGATGACCAGGTCTGCTGGTGACCAGGTCTGGTGGTGACCAGGTCTGCTGGTGACCAGGTCTGGTAGTGACCAGGTCTGGTGGTGACCAGGTCTGCTGGTGACCAGGTCTGCTGGTGACCAGGTCTGGCGGTGACCAGGTCTGCTGGTGACCAGGTCTGGTGGTGACAAGGTCTGCTGGTGACCAGGTCTGCTGGTGACCAGGTCTGGCGGTGACCAGGTCTGCTGGTGACCAGGTCTGGTGATGACCAGGCCTGGTGGTGACCAGGTCTGGTGATGACCAGGTCTGGTGATGACCAGGTCTGGTGGTGACCAGATCTGCTGGTGACCAGGTCTGCTAGTGACCAGGTCTGGTGGTGACCAGGTCTGCTGGTGGCCAGGTCTGGTGATGACCAGGTCTGCTGGTGACCAGGTCTGCTGGCGACCAGGTCTGCTGGTGACCAGGTCTGGTGATGACCAGGTCTGCTGGTGACCAGGTCTGGTGGTGACCAGGTCTGCTGGTGACCAGGTCTGCTGGTGACCAGGTCTGCTGGTGACCAGGTCTGGTGGTGACAAGGTCTGCTGGTGACCAGGTCTGCTGGTGACCAGGTCTGGTAGTGACCAGGTCTGCTGGTGACATGGTCTGCTGGTGACCAGGTCTGCTGGTGACCAGGTCTGCTGGTGACCAAGTCTGGCAGTGACCAGGTCTGCTGGTGACCAGGTCTGGTGGTGACAAGGTCTGCTGGTGACCAGGTCTGGTGGTGACGAGGTCTGCTGGTGACCAGGTCTGGTAGTGACCAGGTCTGGTGGTGACCAGGTCTGCTGGTGACAAGGTCTGCTGGTGACCAGGTCTGCTGGTGACCAGGTCTGGCGGTGACCAGGTCTGCTGGTGACCAGGTCTGGTGATGACCAGGCCTGGTGGTGACCAGGTCTGGTGATGACCAGGTCTGCTGGTGACCAGGTCTGGTGGTGACCAGGTCTGCTGGTGACCAGGTCTGGTAGTGACCAGGTCTGGTGGTGACCAGGTCTGCTGGTGACCAGGTCTGCTGGTGACCAGGTCTGGCGGTGACCAGGTCTGCTGGTGACCAGGTCTGGTGGTGACAAGGTCTGCTGGTGACCAGGTCTGCTGGTGACCAGGTCTGGCGGTGACCAGGTCTGCTGGTGACCAGGTCTGGTGATGACCAGGCCTGGTGGTGACCAGGTCTGGTGATGACCAGGTCTGGTGATGACCAGGTCTGGTGGTGACCAGATCTGCTGGTGACCAGGTCTGCTAGTGACCAGGTCTGGTGGTGACCAGGTCTGCTGGTGGCCAGGTCTGGTGATGACCAGGTCTGCTGGTGACCAGGTCTGCTGGCGACCAGGTCTGCTGGTGACCAGGTCTGGTGATGACCAGGTCTGCTGGTGACCAGGTCTGGTGGTGACCAGGTCTGCTGGTGACCAGGTCTGCTGGTGACCAGGTCTGCTGGTGACCAGGTCTGGTGGTGACAAGGTCTGCTGGTGACCAGGTCTGCTGGTGACCAGGTCTGGTAGTGACCAGGTCTGCTGGTGACAAGGTCTGCTGGTGACCAGGTCTGCTGGTGACCAGGTCTGCTGGTGACCAGGTCTGGCAGTGACCAGGTCTGCTGGTGACCAGGTCTGGTGATGACCAGGTCTGGTGATGACCAGGTCTGCTGGTGACCAGGTCTGGTGGTGACCAGGTCTGGTGGTGACCAGGTCTGCTGGTGACCAGGTCTGGTAGTGACCAGGTCTGGTGGTGACCAGGTCTGGTGGTGACCAGGTCTGGCGGTGACCAGGTCTGCTGGTGACCAGGTCTGGTGGTGACAAGGTCTGGTGGTGACCAGGTCTGCTGGTGACCAGGTCTGCTGGTGACCAGGTCTGGCGGTGACCAGGTCTGCTGGTGACCAGGTCTGGTGGTGACAAGGTCTGCTGGTGACCAGGTCTGCTGGTGACCAGGTCTGGCGGTGACCAGGTCTGCTGGGTGACCAGGTCTGGTGATGACCAGGCCTGGTGGTGACCAGGTCTGGCGATGACCAGGTCTGGTGATGACCAGGTCTGCTGGTGACCAGGTCTGCTGGTGACCAGGTCTGCTGGTGACCAGGTCTGGTGGTGACCAGGTCTGCTGGTGACCAGGTCTGGTGATGACCAGGCCTGGCGGTGACCAGGTCTGCTGGTGACCAGGTCTGGTGATGACCAGGTCTGGTGATGACCAGGTCTGCTGGTGACCAGGTCTGCTGGTGACCAGGTCTGGTGGTGACCAGGTCTGCTGGTGACCAGGTCTGCTGGTGACCAGGTCTGGCGGTGACCAGGTCTGCTGGTGACCAGGTCTGGTGATGACCAGGCCTGGTGGTGACCAGGTCTGGTGATGACCAGGTCTGGTGATGACCAGGTTTGCTGGTGACCAGGTCTGCTGGTGACCAGGTCTGGTGATGACCAGGCCTGGTGGTGACCAGGTCTGGTGATGACCAGGTCTGGTGGTGACCAGGTCTGGTGTGGCTGCACTCAGGAACTGAACTCTTTATAAAAAATGCATTTAATCACAGTTTTTTCATCATTTAACTTAGAATGCATTTAGTTCAGTTGAAAACCGCAGTTTGATCTTCTGGGTTGTCTTTGTCTGATAATGAAATGTGTTTGCTGATCAAAAACCTAAAGGAGAGCTGAGCTGATGCAGTAATGCTAACCGGTATTACCGACCACCCAGTGAACGTGTCTGGCTTTAAACAAGAGGCTCAGAATGTAACATCTGGACACATCTGTCACACGGAGGAGAGCAGCAGCTCCAGCACGGCTTTCAGATAGTTTTTCTGTGTTTCTGGGAAATCCAGTTTGGTTTCCCGTGTGCTGCTGGTGTTACCAGTAAACTGCAGGAACTAAACTGGCCCCGTTCCACATGCTGATGTGGTACTGGTGGGAGTGCAGAGCTGTTGGGTTGTCCTGCTTTCCTCCTGCAGCCTTCTACCTCAGCAGCTAGTGTTTCCCTGTTTGGTGGGATCATGTGACACCATTTTTGAATGGTTAATATTTACCTGCCACACATTTGCATAAGCTGTTGTTGTGGGTGTGTCTCTTTGTCTGTCAGTCAGTAGCTTCCTGCTCTACCTCACAGAGGCTGCAGGTGTTTTTCAGGATGGAGGAAGTTCTGGTTCTGTAGGGTGAGTTTGTAATAACACTGCCAGGACGGAGGCTTTAATATGACAGATAGAGCCATCTGCATTGCCTGAGGATCGGTGAGCTCTGCTCCACACTGGCTACTGATGATTCTTTTAGTCCGGTCTTAGTTAGTGATGCTTGAAAGTGTTGGATTGATGATCTGGAGGATAACGGAGTGCCACCCAAAGCCAACGGCTGGAGAAAAGAGATTTACTGCGGGAGCCGGGACCATCGGCGGGCCTGTCCAGGAGCAGATAGAGCTGCAGCCGGCTAACATAGCTCACTCTAAAATGTAGCTGTAGTTTTCCTCCCCATAATCATTGCATTGGATTTTTCAAGGCCTCTTATTCCTGGTCATAGATTGATGTAATTGGGGTTGTAAATCACAGCTGCTGAGCTCTCTGTACTGATGCTGATGTTGGAAGTCATTTGCAGCTGCTTCAGCTGTAAATCTGCCCCAGAGGCCAGCGATAACTCAGCTGACTAAACACTGTGCCGGACCAGCTTCTTGTGTGTGTGTGTGTGTGTGTGTGTGTGTGTGTGTGTGTGTGTGTGTGTGTGTGTGTGTGTGTGTGTGTGTGTGTGTGTGTGTGTGTGTGTGTGCGCGCGCGCGCGCGCGCCAACAGGTGCATGCATGCATGTCTTGTTGTAATATTCGTGTTTCCAGATGACGTAGAGTACGGGCTTTTCTCTGTCTAAGGTGACCTCTGCTCTCTGTTCATGCAGCTACAGCTTAGAGGGGCTCAGTGGGGTCCAGGAAGAGCTGAGGGGCTCCACCAGCCAAGGGCCCCGGATCCAGGAGCCTTGGAGGATGCCCCGACATGACAGTGAGGACAGGGTCTCCCTGGTCTCTCTGACAGAGGAGCAGGAGGAGCGGGAGGAGCACAGCAGGCAACGTGACCTGGTCAGCTGAGACACATTGATTACTAACCCAGGGGGATCTAAATCATTAATCATCTCTATTGAGCAGCTTAATGTTATTGACTGGTTTTATAACAGATCAGGAACATCAGATGACAAATCAAACATCCAGTTTCCTCTTTTAGTTGATCCTTCCTGTTTTCACATAAGTGACAGCTGGTGTGTTGTTCCAGCTTGCTGTTGTCTGATTCAGTGTAAATGTGTGTTTGGTGCTGCAGAAGCTACGGCGGTACCGGCCCCTGAGAAGCAGCTGTCCTTCCATGACCCTGCCCCTGACCAAGTCTGTGTCCATGGTCACCATCAGTCATAAAGACAGCGATGGTGAGTGTCTTCTGTCACTCAAGTACAGCATCCTCATCTACAACATCTGGACATTCTGTTGGGTGTTTCCTTTCAGCTAGTGGGATTTTTAGTACTTAGGGAAAGGAAAGATGACCTGAGGATGCATTTGTCTACTGTCCATTTTGTCAGATGTTCTTGCTAAAATATTAATGATTGGCATGCCTAAAGGGGAGGGTGAAGAAGGGCCTGCCACTTTCCCCTCCCGTTTATCAGCAGGTCGTCATGGTTACGTAGTTTAAACATGTGACCAGCGGCCTTTGTGGTTCTGTCCCCCCTGCTGCCTCCACCAGCGGTGGGACGTCTGAGGCGTAAGAGGAGAATCTCCTTCTCGTTCAGCCTGTCCCCCATCCTCACCAAATCTAAGTCTCAGTTCCTATATCTGGACTCTTCATCCAGCGATGAAGAGGATGACTCAAGTAAGTGTGGTAGAAACTAGACATGGTGTTAAAATCAGAGCTGTAGCAGCTTCCAGTAGGACACCCCCCCCCCCCCCCCCCCCCCCCCCCCCCCACACACACACACACACACACACACAGACAGCTGTTTAGTGTTTCTGTCTCCCATCCCCACCCCACCCCCCTCCACCCCGACCCCCCAGCTAGAGCAAACCGGTCTCCAGATCCACGTGTCCTCCTCTGGATGTGCAGTACTTTGCTCCTCCTCTCTGGAGTCTGAAGTTCCTACAAACTTCATTCACTTTTCTGGTTTTCATCATATTGTGTGTGATGGACAAGAGCAGTGTTGGACTAGCTCCAGGCAGAGTGTATTCCCATAGTTTAGACACACAACCATGCCATAGGCAGGCCGATAAATACTTATGATGTTTATGAGCAGATTTGATTTGAACAATTACTTGCAGCCAAACTGCAGATGAAGAGAAGGTAATAAGCTTTAACTGCATGCACATAACTTCTGTTAGTCGTACAGACTGCTGTATGATGTCATACATAAATGGGTCTTTCTGTAGTTTCTGCTAAACTGATCAATAAAATAAGAAAAAGAGAGAGACTCAGCCTAGCTGGTCTGCCTCTGTTCCGTTGTCCCACATGAGAAACCCATCAGTGTTCTAATTCCATTTTTGGTTCTTTTTTAAACACAGATGAGGTTTTTCTTTACCTTGCTGACCTTTCGTTTGCGGCTGTGTTTAAAAAGAACCAAACATGGAATTTGAAGACAAACCCAGCAAGAACGTACAAAAGACCATCAGTGTTCGGTTTCTTACACTGTTTCGTAACAGAAGTGCAGGGTTTCCCCCAGCGCTTTATAAGCCTGGCGGCCCGCCAGGCTTTGCTTGCCCACCTGCCAGGCTAAGCGTCTTGCCCCATCCCCCTCCCCTACCGTGTCCGCTGACACGAACGGCTTAGAGCCTTCCATCAGCTGATACTGGAGAGAAACAGCAGCGGAATGTGTGTAACCACCCCACCCTCGCTCTCACAGAGGAGCGCTGCGGAACGGAGCGCACAAAATCCCCTCGCGTGTTGACTGTTGGACTGGAGCTAGCTAAACTGCCCAAAGGAGGAGTGCAAACTCTACCGCCGGGCGCTGGTCCTGGTCTTACGGTTTTGCACGAGAGACAGTCTCACACTAACCTGCCTTCAAGCAGCGGTGTGAGTTGCAGACTGTGAGGAGTAGCAATACGCTTAACAGTTAGCATTTTACCGAGTAGCATTACTCGAAGGGTGACGATACCACCTACACAGGGCAGAGCCGCAACGCCTACCCCACCTAACCACTAGCGTTAGCTGTCTAAATGGTATCGTTAGCTGCAAAACTACATACCAGGAGGTTTTCCATCCACACCCGGAGAGATTGTCCCTCTGGGCTTGGCCCGTGAGCGGTCCAACCTGCAGGCTGTAGGACTCCCACAGAGGGTCATTGAGACCATTCAGGGTGCAAGGGCTCCCTCAACTAGGTCTCTGTATGACTGCAAGTAGTCTATTTTCGAAAAATGGTGTGGAGAGAAACAGGAAATCCCATTTCAGTGCTCCGTGGCGGTCATACTGACCTTCTTGCAGGACCTGATGGATAAAGGAAAAGCTTTCTCCACCATCAAGGTGTATTTGGCTGCAATATCAGCCTGCCACATTGGTTTTGAAGGGAAGTCAGTTGGACAGCATCCCTTTGTGAGTTGATTTATGAGATGCGTGCAAAGGCAAGTCCCCGTCTCTAGGAATCTGGCTCCACCCTGGGACCTCCCGCTAGTTTTGGAGGCCTTAATGTCTTCTCCTTTTGAACCACTGGAGCAGGTAGATTTGAAGGTGGCTACATTAAAAACAGCGCTGTTGCTGGCACTTGCCTCGGTTGAACGTGTGGATGAAATACATGCTCTGTCTGTTCACTCGTCATGTACCAAATTTTCCTAAGGGGACTCAAAAGTGACCTTACTCCCTAATCCCACCTTTATGCCCCTATTTCTTTGGTTTCCTTCTGCCCTCCTCCCTTCTCCTCAGTGGAGCAGCAGAATCTCCATGCACTTTGTCCAGTGCGTGCATTACGTATGTACATGGGCAGGACAGAGACGATGCGAAAGAGCAACCAGCTTTTTGTGTCCTGGGCCAAAAATCGGTTGGGGAAGCCCATATGAAAACAGGGACTTTCTCACTTGATTGTAGGAGCTATCTCCTTAGCCTACAGCTCCAAAGGGGCTCTACCTCCTGAGGGTCTTTGTGCCCATTCTACTAGAGGACTTTCTTCCACATGGGCCCTATTTAAGGGAGTGTCCATTCAGGAAATATGTGCTGCGGCGAGTTGGACCTCCCCTCACACATTCACTCTGTTCTACAAGCTAGATGTCACAACACCATCACTAGCTCACTCGGTGCTGCTCCCACTATCTGAGCTGTGCACACCATATGATATTTGGGAGTACAGTCTGTGAATCTTGTTCTGCCTTGCAATCAGTATTTTCCCATAGTGAGACATGAAACAAATGCTATGAAAGAGAACTTTAGGTTACTGTCGTAACCCCGGTTCCCTGAGTAGCAAGAGTGAGTGTCCCACCATACCGCCCTCCTTGCTAGGTGGTCATTTTAGAAGACTGTCAGTGAGGAGCTGGCCCAATATATGGGTGGGGTTCCCACCTCCTATACGCTGACAGATTTGTTCCAGCCAATCAGGGCTGGCAGTGTGGAATAAGAGCTTCTGATGAGGTCACGCCTAGGCGCGCCCATAGTCAGACACTCACTCGTGCTACTCAGAGAACCGGGGTTACGACAGTAACCTAAAGTTATTGTTGAGAGGTCTGGGACTCCCTTGTTTGAATTGTGAAAAATGCCTTATAGAGTAAACTGATACCAGTCTGTTTAGAGAGTTAAATATATAACTGGTGGAGCTCAAACAGGGTCACAGATCCCACAACCCTAACCCTAACCACAGCATGTATAGTAATAATTCACATCAGAAGTGATATGACAGGCGACATTAAACCAGGAGATGTCCTGTATATGAGTAAAAGCTGCTGTGGCAGTTATTCGTTTGATTGATTGATAGGATGCATTTTTTTTTTACTTGAGACAACACGTTAATAACCATAAAAAAGTAAGAGGATATTGCAAAAGAAAGGAATAAAGACTTCATCCAAAGGGAGTGGGAGGAAGCCAGCTCTTATTCAGTCCCACACCCCACAATACACACATTTAATGTAACAGATAAAGATCTTTGCAACTGTGATACAGCTGATGATAACAATGATAGAGATAATTACCAATAAGAACATATATAAAATGTATCTATTCAGTAAGAATACACTTCAGCTAACAAATAAAGTAACCACTAAATCAATAATAGTAACAACAACAATACTATTGTAATGGTAATAATATAGTTATTAATATTTATTTCTTCATTGTTATTGTCCATCCATCCATTTTCTGCAGCCTAACCCGGGACGCCTAGACTTCCCTCTCCCCACCTACTTGGGCCCGCTTCTGCGGGGGAATCCAGGCGTTCCCTGGCCAGCTGAGAGACATAGTGCCTCCAGCATGTCCTGGGTCTCCCTTTAGGTCTCATCCCGGTTGGATTTGCGTAGAAAACCTCACCGGGGGGCATCCAGGATGCATCCTAATTGGATGCTTGAGCCACTTCAACTGGCTCCTCAAGATGTGGAGGAGCAGCGGGTCTACTCCGAGCCCCTCCCGGATGACCAAGCGTCTTTCCCTATCTCTAAGGGAGAGTCCAGACACCCTGCGGAGAAAATTCATTTCAGCCACTTGTATCTGTGATCTCGTTCTTTCGATCACTACCCAAATCTCGTGACCATAGGTGAGAGTAGGAACGCAGATCGACCGGTAAATGGAGAGCTTCACCTTTTGGCTCAGCTCCCTCTTCCTGTTCTCCCTTCACTCTTGAATTGTTAGTAATTGTAGGGGTTTTGTATTTCAGGATTAATTATTGAATTTTGTGAAACATTTTGAAACAAAAGAATAAATCCAACATCTGAGATGTTTTCACATCATGACTAAATTCATGTTCTTTTAGCTCTCTGCCACTGCAGATGAGTCTTCCATCATGTACTGTAGGTGTTTATGGTACCGCCTCCAGGTTTCATCCTCTCCCCTGTTCTGCTGTTGTTTCTGTAATTAGCCTCCGTGGTGCTGAAGGGCCTCTTGAAGCAAATGAGCTGCTCTTAAGCACCAAAACTAGCCTAGCACCATCCTTACCGAACCCTTGCAGTTGGATATAAACTGACAACCTTCAGCTCAGAGGAATCCTTTCCCTGTTTGCTCTCACGCAGCTCTCTGTTTTGTGAAGGCATGAGCTGCTTGTGGGTGTACTAAACGCCACCAAGAGATCACGAATAAGGCAACAGAGGAATAGCCTTAATACCAAAGAGACCTCATTCCCTCTCATGTTTGATTGCAGGCACAAGGTCATTTTCCAGTACCTCTGGATCAGTAGCATACAGGTCAGTCCAACTCCACGCACACACACACACACACACACTCACCTTCATGGAAACAAGCTTTTTAGATTCTCGGTGCTGCAACAACATTTATAGTCCCATAAAGACCAGTAAGGAGAAGCTGCCCACTGGTTCCTCAAGACAATTGAGCCTTTATGATGCTGTAAAGAAGTGTTATAGTACATGTGAACAGATATGTTGTGTGTATAAGATGTGTTTGTGTGTGTATGTGTGTGCGTTTCAGCATATCGGAGGAGGAGCCTGGACCTCTGCGGAATGACAATGAGGGCAAGAGTGTGACAAAAGTCAGCCGGACCTTCAGCTACCTCAAGAATAAGATGTACAAAAAGACAAAAGTGAGCCACCTTGGTCCTGTGTGTGTGTGTGTGTGTGTGTGTGTGTGTGTGTGTGTGTGTGTGTGTGTGTGTGTGTGTGTGTGTGTGTGTGTGTGTGTGTGTGTGTGTGTGTGTGTGTGTGTGTGGTGTGTGTGTGTGTGTCTCTCTCTCTCTCTCTCTCTCTCTCTCTCTCTCTCTCTCTCTCTCTCTCCTCTCGCTCTCTCTCTCTCCTCTCGCTCTCTCTCTCTCTCTCTCTCTCCCTCCCTCCCTCCCCCCCCTCCCTCCTTCCATATATAAGACATAGGCGTGGCCTATGTCTTATATATTCTGGAAGTTGTGCAAATGCAGGAATGGGCATAGATATTTTGCTGGGGTGGGGCTGGGTTGGTGCCCTCTGACTCCATGAGGCTCTGCAATGCTGCCCTGGCAGGATGGGCTGGGGTCTCCATGCCCTGGGTGGCATTTTGACAACAGAGGTGCCTATTGGGGCCAGTGGGGGGAGCTGGCTCCCTGGAGGGCTAAGCCCAACCAGCCATTCCTCCCCATCCCCACACATTTCTCTCCTCCTGCTCCCTCATTTCATCACACAAACATGCACATAGGACCTTGGGGGTGGACAAGTCAGGGAGTGCGGGTATGGACCCCATTTCCACATTCCTGTGGCAACCTGCCCCCCAATTTTATTTGCACCTTATACACTTCCACCGACGACATTCCACGCAAACACACACTTAGGGCCTTGGGAGTGAGCACATTCAACGACACTTGGCAGGGGGATTTCTCAGCCTCCTCCTGAGTGCCGGGGCCCACTTCCAATTTTAAACATTACTTAGACACCGAGGGCTGTGGGTGCAAGTGGGGTGGTGCGGTGGCATCAGCTGGCACAGGCCAGACAATGCCTGCACTGCCCGCTCACCCCAGCCATGGAATACACCTCATCAACACACAACACTATATTGGAGCAGGCGGAGGGAGACTAGGGGTCTTAGCATACCTCTGTTGTTGCTTGGCTTCCTGGGGCTGGAGGCTAGGAGGGAGATCTGGCCGTCTGGTTGGGGTCTGGGGTGGTGGGTTGCTGTGCTCAGCGTTGGGCGGGGGAGCCTGCTCATCAGCACCCCAGCAGAAAGGGTCAAACTCTAGTAACCGGTGATGGTCGTACCCCATGTGCAGCAGTACCGGGACCAGAGTGAATAGGGTGTGTATGGGGAGCATGAGTGGGTGTCCGGCGTGCATTTTTGTAAGTCTTTGGTTGTATGTGCATGTGTGAGTATGAGGGAGGGAGTGTGTGTGACTGTGTTTGTGTATGACTGTATATGTCAGGTGGGGCCTTTGACTCCTCCCCTCTCCTGTAACTTCTTTTGATGATATAGATCTTCGTCTCCCCTCCCCCTGCCACACCTGGTGTGGGGTGTGGTGCCTTGGTCTGCCTGAGTGTTTCCGGGTCTGGGGGTTTAAGATTTTTGGCATCTGCCTGATCAGTCCCGGTGGCTGCCTGGTGGGATCTGGGTCCCTGGGCTCTGCTGGGTCCCCAGCGGGGGTGGTCGCCCCAGGGTCCCGGGTCGCTGGGTCCCGGGCTCAGCCGGCTAGGGGGTGGGAGGCTGGGGGCGGGCTTGTGGGCTTGCCGCTGATATCTCCCAGGACTCTGCCGGCTGCTGGTTGTGGCCCCCCGGGTTGATCCTCTGTGCCTCTCGAGGGGGGCGGGGGCCTTTCTGGTTGCAGTCTCCTTGGGGTTCCTGTGTTCTGGGGCAGCGCCTGGATCTCTGGGACTTGGAGCTCCCCCCGTCTCCTACACATCTTTGAGGGCACATCTGTGGTCCCTCACACTCTATTGGATGCTCCTATAGAGAAACCTTACATAAACAAGCGCGTGTACACACACAGGTGCTCACATGGTGCTCTCAAAAGTATGGGCTTGGGAACGTTGTCCCATTTTTTTCTATTCTTTCTCTGTCTGCAGGTCTAGAAGCAGACTCTTGTTCATTACTGTTTATTTTTGTGGACCCCACCTTTTGTCCTTTCCTTTCTCTTTCACCTCTGTCTGCGTGTCTGGTCGGAATTAAAAAGCATTCAACAACAATAACAATAAAGTTTTAAGTATCAGGCGTGACATTAAAAGCAGACACTTTGGTGCTCCACCTGAGAGTAAATCTGTAAGGCTTGTTACCAGCATTCAGACATCAATTCTGCTTGCTTCACAGCCAGACAGGACACGGTAAAAAAAAAAAAAAGAAAAGTAGAAAAAATAAATACAGCACTCTGCCATTTTTAGACAGGAATGAATGAATGTTTTTCAATGAATAATTATTTAAAAAATGGAAGCATTATTTACTTATTTCCCCCTCTCTCTCTCTCTCTCTCTCTCTCTCTCTCTCTCTCTCTCTCTCTCTCCTCTCTCTCTCTCTCTCTCCTCTCTCTCTCCCCTCTCTCTCTCTCTCTCTCTCTCTCTCTCTCTCTCTCTCTCTCTCTCTCTCTCTCTCTCTCTCTCTCTCTCACACACACACACACACGAAAAAATCCATACACTTTTTCCATGAGTTGTATTCTTTTATATTAAATAAAAAAAAAACAAAATAAAATTGGTATTGTTTTCCACAAAATTTACAGCAAATCTCTAATAGTCTGTATTTATAGAAGAGGAACAAAAACATTTCTGTCTTTATTCTGAGGACAATGTGATTTTTATTAAATATCTAATATCTAACATTTATTAGAAATTATAAACATCTTTTTCCAAAAGGTCCTGTTGGAGCTGCGGCTCTAAGCATGTTTTATTCCGGTGGACTGAAGGGAAAAGTGGCAGTTGAGGCTCTAAATGTTGCAGACCCATGGTCTGGAGGGATTATAAAAAGATTTGCAGTTCTAGCTAATTGTTCTTGGGGTTTTGCATAAGATTGTACGTCATGTTAATTTTGACTGTAAAACGCAACTCAACAAAATAGCATATTGTGTTGGGTATCGTTTTTTTTTTTTTTTTTTATTGAGACATTCACACAAAAATATTTACTGTATTTCTTGAGTGGTGCAATTCAAACTCTGTCTGCTAGGTGGCAGTAGATTGTCCCTCCTTTATTCTGATGGAACAATGTGATTTTGTTATAGGGAGCCTAAGCCACGCCCATCTACATCTGGTCATTGGGTCCCCCCACTGCTCCAAAAAAAATACTAGTCTTTGGGCCGATAAAAGTAACTGTTTGATTCTGTTTGACACTGATTTCACATGTGATTTCCGTGAATTTTAAGACACATTTTGATGACGAATAAGCACTTATTTTCAACAGGTGGCAGAAATTACTTGAGGCTTTGTTTGAAAAGACGTAGTGGACTACAAATGCTCGTCTCACCATTATCATGAAACCATATAAGGACAATAAGTAGAAGAAAAGTTTAGCTAGCTTCGAATCCTTGTTCTAGGATGACAGAAGGAGAAAACCACTCTTAATCTGGCCATGTAGCAGCTACGCTGGTTTGTAGTCACATTAATTAGGAATTAATTATAAAAATCTCAAAGTACCTGACAGACATAGTCAAAACCTGCAATCATTTTTCATTTGAATTCACGTATAGCATACGTGCGATTCAGAGAATAGCGTTTTTAGCCGTTGACTACCATTCATTTATTTTTGTTCCAGGGACTCATGAGCCGACCAGAGGGGTCGGAGACTTAAGCCGGGCATACATTGTGCAACTTTTTCACTTTTTTGAGCTGATTTTCCACTCGTGCGAGAATCCACGACATCGGGGTGAATTTTGCGCTGAGCGTCGTGTAGTGTACAGGGGGTTACGAGAGGCGATTAAAACCACGCGACCAGCTACCGATCAGCAGTTGTGAGCTCGCACGGACTTCTGGCGTGTTTGATATTTTGCTCGTCCCTCGCGAGGGTATCGCACTGTTGAAGCGGGGCAGCGAGCGGCTGCGACCCAAAAAGTATCAGAACCGTTCACGGCGCATGCGCAATCCTGCATCAACGCCGCTCGCTCGCTATTTCCTAATAAAACACGTCGTTCATTTTTATTTCTAAACGTATCTTTTTTTTTTACGCACAGTGACAAGGATTGTCAAGAAAGCGTGTTTGTCGTGTTCGTGTCAAATTAAACTGATCACAAAACACAGATTTACTTTCTTTATTTTGTTTTCCTCATCTAACCCCCATAAATCCCTGTGTGTCCTCCTGCAGCACTCCCGAAGGACAACAGACAAGACAAAAAAGTCTGACGTGTTGAGTAAAAACTGCTATTTTTAGCATATTTTTAGGTCCGACATGTTGCTACCAGACGTACAGTGTGAGCAGTCAGGTCGCATCCGAGAACTGGGTCGTACAGTGTGAGCGCCTGGCTCGTGAGATCTGCCCTGCGAGGAAGTCGTACAGTTTGAGCTGAAGCTGAGTGCTACGAGTGAAAAAGTCGCACAGTGTCCGCCCAGCTTTAGGCTCCCTATAACACTGAATGTGTCTTTGAAGGGTCTGGCCTGAGCTTTAAAAAATGTAAATATTGTCTGGCTTTTAGCAGATATATCATATTGTCTCCCCTCTTTTGTCATTTTTATCGCATTCCCAGGTTCTTGCCAGTACACATCCTAGTTTAAACGCTGGCTTGGAAGGTGACAGCCAGTTAAAATGGCGCTCCTTTGAGGGAAACTAGGTGTTATATTTTCAGTTTGGATTCTTCGGCCGTGTGTTTGGTGGAGCCTCTGTGTCGCCCTGAACATTTGTGCTGCTTTTCTGTCGAACTTCAACATTCAGGACACGCTTTGTTCCTCCGGCCTGGCCCCCAGTCCCCTGGTGGTTACACGTCCCTCGCTTTGGGGCCTTTTAACTTCCTCTGCCCATACTTCCCCAACAAGCTCTGGTTGAGCTAGGATGAGATGGGTGTAAATGCTGGTATCACAGGAGCGATTACTGACTGTTATTTATTTAAAGAGAGCATAATTTTTACACTTTTGAACTCTTATCTGCTCGTGTTTTACAGTAAAAGTCATTCAACATGGTTTCCTTAAACTGTGAAGAGCTAGAAAATGCAAAACACGACCTTCTGTAGTTTTGTACCAGATTGTGTGCTGTTAGCGGACATTAAAAGTGAAGGCACAGTAGTTTTTCCCACCAGAAGCGGTTCAGGTCTTTTTATAGAGTGTCTGTCGGCTCCTGTGCGCTACCAAGAATCTGAATAACTCATTATGGGCCGAGTATTAAGTTTGATAAAACCATAAAGTCATAATAATCAGCAGCGAAACAGAACATGAATTCATAATTATCTGTATTGTATTAAAATCAGCTTCCTCATCGGGAACTACTGTTTCTCTCCAGGTAACAGCACTGAGTATCACATTACCTACAACTGCTGCTTGTATCGTACCAAATAAGATGTAAGGACCTCTAAGGTGTTCAGATGCGTTCCTTAGAACGGACCCAGAACCACCTTCCTGTTGTGGTATTGCAGAAAAGGCAGAAAGACAGTCAGGGGTGAACAGGAAGTAAAAGAGGAAGTTGGAGCAGGCTTTGGTTTCTAATCTCTTCTCTAAACTGAGTCAGGCGTAACTTTTAAAGTGACAGGACTCGGAACAAGCCAGCCGCAGCCTGATAGGGTTACGAATAAACCTGAAGTTTTAGAGCGTGTTGTCGAGTCTGTCTCCTCAGAGACGACAGAGAGAGGACACCACACTGCGCTTAACCAACACCACTCTTACTCCTCCACTCTTTGGTGGTTCTTAGTGTGCAGGCGTTGCCGTTTAAGTTCCTGCACAGTACAGAAAGTGCGAATTATGGGAAAGAGGATCTAGTTTGTGCAGTTTTGTGTCCGTGTCTGTTCCAGACTTCGGTGGACATTGCAGAAATAGCACCTCCTGTTGCGAGGCAGTCACTTCCTCTTACCAGCGTTCATGCTGGAGCCTTGGTGCTGCTCGTAGCTTCAGCCACTCGGGATGTTATATGGGAGATTCACAGGGAGCCACGGCTTCTCACTGAGACGCAAAGGTGTGACCAAGGTAGGCAAAGCCAGAGCTCTGGTGTCCCTGTCACAATGTGAGGAAGGAGCCGTGGCCTGATGTCTTTGTTCAGCTGAATCACGGCCTGTTAGACATAATGTCTCTGTGTTTAAGTCTCACTCGTCATTACGTCCTGTTAAGAACGTCTGTAGCCAAAAATGGACACTAGTCTCTTTTCTCCTGTGTCTTTTTCTGAAAGTTCAGTCTTTGTGGTGGATCTACCAGGGGACATCTGTCTTTAAAATGTCCTTTAATAACTCTGTTATTTATAAGACTTCAGGTCAGAATGTTTCATCTCTGGTCAGACGGTTGTTGCAGGAAGTGAGAACCAAAGCGGCTTTGAAGCACAGCGCTTCAGAAGTGAGAGAAGTGAGCCCGAGTATGTCAGAGCTTTGTGGTCCTCACAAGCCAAGAGGCCCAGGGCTGGCCATTATAACCAGCTGGAAAACTCCATTTTCCCATTTCCTTTGGGTTTGGGTGGAGGCTCTGTGATGCAAATCCAAAAGAATGAAAGCTCTGTTCTCCTCTGCATCACTTTATGGGATTGTGATTAAGCTCAGTGTGCAGGGATGACCAACTGCTGAGGATGAGCTTGTGCATTAGTCCAGAAGCTGCAGAAAGACGAGCCTGTTCTGGAAAGGTCAGAGATGTGATTCCCAGACGGTGCGTCTTCGCCACCAGTCACAAATCCTGCAGAGCTGTGCCTTCTGGCTCTGCTATCACACACTTACATTATTATACCAACAGGCTTCCAGCAGCTAACTCGCATAACAAACAACATGTCTTGTTTTTGGAAATGATCACAAATAAATCCTAATTGTTTGTGTGGCTGAAAGTAAACATCAAACACCACAGTTTACCAGAGTCCAGACAAACCAGAGAAAAACAACATTCCTATTTAAACCGACCCTTCACTGAGGAGACACTTTGTTGTCAGCATAAATATTGCATCACTTAAAATGCAAACGCCCCCTGCTGTGTATCACATCAGAGTAATTATGTAGCTCTGTGGGGTTCAAATTGAAACTTCCCACCAGCGTCTTAACTGGTGCGTTGGTCCGCTCCACGTGTCCTCCAGACTGTAATCTGCAGCAGGATGGTGAAAGTGACCGAGTTAGAAGTTTGAACACTTTTCCTTTTGGCAGGAAAAAGAGCGGGAGAAGAAGGACAAGGAGGGACAGGGGAAGGACAAGAAGACGGTGAACGGTCATCTCTTCACACAAGTGTGCTCGAACGTGGCCGCCCAGTGCTCCCAGTGCAATAAGGCTTTAGCGAACAAAGATGTACTATTGTGCTTATGTAAGTACTTCTGCTTCATTTGCTTCCTGTTAAAGCTCCATCCAAATCAAATTAGGACCAGTCCTGCTCTAAAAGTGCTTTCATGTTTAATGTGAGACGCTGTGGACACGTTAAAGGACCAAACATAGAAAATAAATCTGTCCTCTTCTGGCGTACGTCCCCAGCTAGCAGACTAGCAGACTGATTAACGCTTGCACACAGCTGACTTCACCAATGTGCTTCTAAAGGCTGAGTCTCCCAGGTCTGGTGGACACCATACCCTTCACCACCTGTGGTTGTCCCAGCCTCATGTAGTGAAACTCCCTGAAGGACCACTTCTGCATCGACCCAGTCAAGCTGTCAGAGCAACAGCAAACTTTTCCTGTTGTTTTTCCACCAGCAGCAGCTTTAAAGAGGACGTAGCTTTGTATGCAAGTCGTTTGGCACCAAAGAAATCAAAGCCAGCTCAAAAAGGAGAAGCAAGTCCTGCAGTGGATTACAGCATCCTCGCGTGGGTCACGCTCTGCCTCAGATAGTCCGGGCTGACGAGGAGCAGCTCTTCCTCAGGAGTTTCTGAGTGTTATTCATTCATCCAGCAGACAAACACAGCGATCCTTTGTCTGGAACTGGAACATGTTAGACCTTCAGAAAAACAGTCAAATACACAGTGAGCAAAGGAGGAGGATGTGGAGATCACCCCATATCTGAGATATTCAGACAAGCAGGGGCTGTGTGCACCTCAGCGTTGACCTCAGTGGAGATCACAGTTGACCCTCTTACCGGCAGTTCCTGATCCACCACATCAGGACTTTTGTTTTTGTGTGTTTTCACTAAATCAGGATTTAAAATGACCAGTTTAGGAGAAGCAGGCTCCGTAAAGACATAAAACATTAGTAGCAGAATGCTTATTATGGGAATGTTGACATAATTAAGACGTTTCCATGTGGTGAAGTGTACACATGTGTGCGTCAAAACTGATGCCTTTTTTCCCTTCGCCCACAAAGCACTATTACCCATGGATTGCATCACATGCACTGTTGCAGTCTGGCTTTCATTAGCAGCCTGGTGGAGTTTCCTGGCTGCCTGTGAAGGCCACTCAGAGTTTCTAGCCCCCACCTTTCCACCCCCCCTCCCTGGCTCCATCACCACCTCCACCAGGCTCACAGAGTTGCTGCTTTTCTTTGCAGACTGTAACTCTTCCATCCACAAGAGCTGCAGGGACAGTCTGCCTGTTTGTGCCAAGGTGAAGATGAAGGTAACCCCCCACAGTAGCGATCTGTTGTCCTGCAGCCAAAGCTGATCCTACTGGTTTGGGATCTGACTCTCCCTTCTACTGTTTAGTTGCCCAAGCAGCCGCCTGCAGCGAGCGACTCCAGTACCCTTCCTGCAGTCACCATGAGGAGCAAACGTGAGTTAAACTGGACGTAACCCTACCCCTCACACACACGCGCGCACACACACACACACACACACACACACACACACTTCCAGTCTCCATACACCTTAAAGCAGAAAGTGGAGGCTCATACTCACTGTGTCTCTAATTATGTCATTATTATGTTGTTGATGGTCTTGCTCCCCTCAGTTTGTTGTTTGTTGTTGTTTTACTGGATCCAGCTCAGGCAGCGTACTCGATCGGGTGGTTTTTACCTTTTCCGTCTTCATAAGCGGGCTTGTGGTGTCTGCTGTTCGGCCAAACTTCTGGGTACCAGGACAAATCAGGGTCATGTGACTAGCGTATTTGACGGTAGGAAGTGGACAACACTGGGGAAGTGCACCACAAGCCCCTGTCCTTGTTCGACCAGGGACAGAGCAGCGTGGACAGCAGAGCAGTGAGGTGCGGGAGATGCGCTCAGACACCTCAGCGTGAAATTACTTTCCAGTTAGTGGAAAGAATCCGCAGCAGGAACCTGGAGCAGACTCTGACTCCCTGTAAAGTGTCAGGATGAGGATTCAGCTGTAATCGGTTGGAAACATTATTATCTGCTCAGTTTACACAGATTTTTTACACAACAGGTTGGAATTTTATTTCATATCTAAATTTGCACACTTGTTCATTGATCGCTTCTTTCATTGGCTTTTTACCGTTTTATTTGGAGGAGCCATATCATGGAAAACCCACTTTTTTGGAGCTTTGTACCAAATGACATTGTTGTTTTCTCATGAAAAAACCCGTTTTTGGCTACATTCATGCAGTTTTAGCATTTTTCAGCTGCAAATTTAGAGTTTTACTTAGAAAATCCTGTAAAGTCTTAGTGAAAGCTAATCTCGTCATCGGGCCTGCTGCTCTCCCGGGAGCTAGTCTTCTCCCGGCCAGCACATGATATGTGGCGTAGGCGACTGCTGTCATGTGGTAGACTTGGTAGTCCAGTGGTTAGAGCGCTGGGCCGGCATGCAGTTTTTAAGCAGGTGCATATCCCGGTCTGAGCAGTTACTTTTTTCTTCTTTGCCAGGAGGATTTTTTCAACCCTTAAACTGTTTAAAATGTAAGAACTAACATGTTTTTTTTTACTTTCTTTGTTTATTTAGCCAGTGTGAGTGCATGTGAGGTGAGCAGAGCAAGCCAGCTAAAATGCTGCTTGGAAACGACCAAATTCAAAAATGTTTAGAGACACAAAATATTTTGCAGAAAATAATCAATAAAACTAAAATATATAAACATGAAATCTGCTTCAGCTGGCTAAATAAACCACTGCCGACAGCGCCGGGAGTCGAACCCACGTCAGCTGGGTGTAAATTCAGGGAGACAAAAATAACTCGTATTTAAGATGAATTACATCTCAATAGTGGCACCTGTAACAGTAATCATATACCGTACCTTCCTCTGCTCTCAAAGCTTTAAAATAGCATGATGTGGAAACTTTAAGTTGTGCAAAGCAGGACACGTGTTTTATATTTAACTTAGCACTACTTATTACTTACTTATTATGTTTGATAGTAACTGTTTCATTTAGGGTTTTTGTTTGTTTATCACGATGGCATATTAAAGTGCTGCTGCCACCTGTGAACCAGTCATCCCGCCTCTAATGACGGCTGTCATCAGCTCAACTCTCATGTCTTCTACACTAAACACATGCAGCTCTGGGAGGGAATCACTTATTATTTTAGCTACACTTGAAAGAGTCGTGTTGTTTGTGTCTTTATGCTATTGGTCCCAGAATGACTTGAATGTAGCTTTGTGAAACACACAGAAGGTCCATATTAGTTAATCTATCAGTGGCTGATTGATGATGTGAGTTCCCTCAGTCAGAACACAGATACCGTAATTTCCGGACTATAGAGCGCACCTCAATATAAGCCGCACCAACAAAACAAAAAGGTTTTCTACACACACACACACACACACACACACACACACATGCCGCACTCGAATACAAGCCGCGGCGCAGCAGCCACATGCAGGTCTGTGGCGCACAGCGCATGTACGGCCATAACATAAGATAATTAGACAGAAATACGCTACACGGAGGTTTTTCGTTGTTGTTTTTATTCAACAAAACGAATTTTAAACACGGGTGAGCACTGATAGCATTCATATTTCTGGATGGTTATAAAATAAAAACAGAACTGACACGTCAAATACACGTGTAATACCGGTAATTTACACGCATGTTTAGAAGAAAAGAACAGCGCTGACACAGCATTAATAAGCCCTGGATGATTAGAAACTAAAAGCTGCACCAAAACATGCCTGGTTAGTAAATAAAACACACTTGCCTACCAGAAAGTCATTCGCTCTCATCTTCCTCTTGCGCACTAAAGCCATTAAAGTCCTCTTCTTCAGTGTCGGAGTTGAACAGCCTCAGAAGAGCTTCGTCACATACTTTTTCTGTGGCGATGTCAGTGTTGCTGTCTTCATCCCCGGGTGAAGCTGGCTTGAATGAGTTCTTCCCGCTGCCGTCTCCAGCGCCGAACCATGGATTCATTCATGCCAAGCGTACGCGCGGCAGCACTGTTTCCCTCCTTTACTGCCAGATCGATGGCCTTCAACTTAAATGCGGCATCATATGAACTCATACGTGTAGTTTCCACGATGAGGGGGCGTGAATTTGAAACAAATGTTTCGTCGTGCCGGCTGCTTGCATGTGCTAAATAAAAATGAGCACTTTCTTCGATTTCCACTTTTGACTTCCACCTGTCTCACTTTCTGCTAAAGCGCCCCCTAGTGGCAGGTGAAGGAAAATCTTCAGTAAAGCCGCACCTCATTATAAGCCGCACGGTTCAAAGCGTGGGAAAGAAGTAGCGGCTTATAGTCCGGAAAATACGGTATCTGGATTTGATCTTTTAATTATTACTTATTTAATTGCTGTAAAATAAAATGCCCCGAAACGTGGTGACAGCTGATGTTTTCTTTCAGAAGAGGTTTGAAACCGTTTTTTGAGTTTTTAGGGTCTATTTCTATCATTTTATTTAATGTGTTACTTTAGTAAAAGGAAAGTAGCTTTGCAACCACGGATGGAACGTTTTGGTGTCTTGGATTGTTCGGGTGTGCAACACATGGGTGTTTTCTCTTCCGTTGTGTTTGCTGGTTTACTGACTGCACGCCTCAAACTGCTAACAGAGATTCTCTTGTTTACATTTCCTTTTGTCATAACGGTGGTTATTACTGAACAGGAAGTGTGGGTCTTCCGTATACAAAGTGAAAACTGGGTGTTCCTTTAGCTTCAGAATACACCTAGCATCTGGTCGTCTCCGCGGAGCTGAGGACAAATGTCCAGGTTCACTTAAAGGAGAAACTATTCTACAGACGATCTCTGAACATTTGAAAATAAAATATATTTTTTAAAAGAGCTAATGAAAGAAGGATCTGTACAGATTTAACTGATCGTTTTTGTTCAGCTGTTGCGACAAGGGAGCGTCCCTGGTCAGCCATCTTGTCCCCTGAAGACTCATCGACTCTGATCCCAGCGTCCCGCAGACACACCGCCGTCATGCCTTTTCATGGGAACAACCTCTCCAAGAGCCTCTCCATCAGCAACATTTCAGGGTGAGCTGCTGCCTGTCTGGCTGCATTATCTCATCTTTTTTAAATGTGGCTCCGGTACCGAGATGAGCGGTTCGGACCCGCTTGAAGAACAAGTTTATACTCTGTTTATCGTTTCTCCGTTCAGCCCAGCGTTTGATGAGGTGCCCATTAAAAGCCGGCAGTTCCTCTCTCAGTCCACCGACTCGCTCAACAGGATGGTCACGGTGTCCATGGAGTCCCTCGCTGATGAAGGTACACACACACACACACACACACACACACACACACACACACACACACATTGTATTTATTCATGTATTTTTAGGAAGCAAATAAAGACCAGTACAGTTAACTGTACCGTTATGACATCCTCCTGAACCAAAGCCAACCTGGTGGCAAATATTAGACCCAACCAGTGTTTCTCACGTCATGTCCAAATGTTGTGGCAGAATCAGTGAGTGGTGGCTTCAGTCTTTAAGTTGCTGGTAATAATCCGTCAGTAGGATCATGAGGTCATGTTGTGAATCTGCTCCAGGAACAGAGATGATGGACGGGCAGCTGATGGGAGAGTATGACGAAGACGCCAAAGAGCTGGAGGCCGATTCGTGGAGTTTGCTTCTGGAGCAGCAGTATCTACAGCAGCTGGACAAAGACCTGGTGAAGAGACAAGACGTCATCTACGGTAGGTCCAGACGTTACACACTCATGAGCAGATGTAGAGGTCGGTCTGTGCACCAGGGGGCCAAAATAACGGGCCTGATTTTAGCTTCAGCTGATTTAAAAATGCCTTGCTTGATCGTTTTTATCATATTTCGATATTTCCGGCTTCATGTCTTTATCTTAAAGGTCTCATTCACTCAATTTTCAATAAATCTGCTGTGGTCTCTATTGTGACTGAACACCTAGTGAGTCATTTCTATGGAACAAAGCTCTAAGGCTCCTGTTTAACCATCTCTTTCCTTTCTGCAGCTGATGCAGGCGATGTGTAGAAGTCTGTTTTCATGTTCAGCATGCATGTGCAGTTCAGAGTGACAGATATGATTATTCCACGATTTCTCTGTGAACGAGACCTTCTACAACAATCTAGTTATTTTGCTGCCTGGTTTCGTTTAAATAAAAGGACGATTGGACCCAGTTTTCGTGGGCTGTCCCTGTTTGTGTTGAGCCTCACACAAGCTGTAGGACAGCAATCTTCGGAGGATGTGCTTGCTAGAAGATGAGTGGCCACCACAAAGTCCAAACCGCGTTCCAATGCATTACTGCGTGTGAGTTTTTCTAAGTGAGAATGTCTGTTAGGCCAAGGGAAGACAAAAATCAAGGAGAGTTCAGCTTGGTCCCGGAGAACACATCTGAGAGCCTTCTCCACGAAAAAGGGAGACCAAGCCACCGCTTATTCATCTGAGACTGGGTCAAACACAACCCTGACAGAGCTTGTGGGGCTCATCGTAAATTCGATCAAAGATCTGAAGCAGGAAATAGTTAGAACATCTGTATGCCGAAGCAACAACATTTCTATGAAACTGTATCGAAGGGTTTTTCTGAGAAGGTTTCCAGGATCAGAACCATGTTCTGACCTTTGCAGATATCTGCAGTAGAGCATGCAGCACAGACCTGTGAGGTTGGACCCTGACTCTAAACATTCTCCTGTGCTGCAGAACTGATGCAGACCGAGATGCACCACATCCGCACGCTGCGCATCATGTCAGACGTGTACAGACATGGCCTGGTGAATGAGGTGAAGTTGGAGCAGCAGCTGGTTGGGAAGCTGTTCCCAGTTCTCGATGAGCTGCTGGATCTCCACATGCAGTACTTCCAGTGTCTGGTGGAGCGGAGAAGGGAAAGCAAGGAGAGCCAGCAGGAAGGGGAAGTTCTGGAGGGATGTGTGGTCATCAGCAGGATAGGAGACATACTGGTTAGCCAGGTGGGAGCAAACAGATCGTTTTATTTATTCATTCATTCATTCATTCTTTCTTTCTTTCTTTCACACAAATTTTGATACTTTTCCTTTGTGTTTATTCTCACCTGTTGAATCCCTCTGCAGTTCTCGGGATCAAATGGTGACGCCATGAAAAAGGTTTACGGAAAGTTCTGCAGCCGCCACAACGAAGCTGTTAATGTCTACAAGGACCTCCTGACCAAAGACAAACACTTTAAAGCCTTCATCAAAGTAAGAGTTCACACGGCTGCACGTTTCTGCCATGAGGCAGTGGCACCGAGGGGCCAGTTCACATGTGATCAGGTCTGTTAAAATGCTAGAAACCATTAGATGATGTTGGGAGAAGTTCTGTTGTTTGTTATTGTCCATCGCTTCGTGTGTTGTTACACCTCCAGTTTAATCTCTGTGGTTTTAGGGCTGTTCCTACAGTTAACTGGGTGTGTTTATCCCACTCTAACTGTTTAAATGTCTCTGTTTATGCGCAGCTCTGCCACCTGTTGTGTGGGCCCGTTTCTCTGAAGTGTGTGTCATTTCTTCTCACAGAAAAAGGGTAGTAGCAGCATCGTGCGGAGGCTCGGTATCCAAGAATGCATCCTGCTGGTGACCCAGAGGATCACCAAGTACCCCGTGCTGTTTCAGAGGATCCTGCAGCACACTAAAGGCAGGTTCATGTCCTCCTCTCACCTGTTCCTGGAGTTTACTGCAGTAGTGAAGAAACTCAAGGAAAAAGTTTGTTTAGACAGAATCTTTAAATCATTGTAAATTATTTAAATTGTTGCTTCAAGTTTCAAAATGAAGAGACTGTTGTGCAAAGCTGAGTTTGTGTTTAAAAGCAGTTTTCATGAGACAAGTGGGCGTGGACAAGAATACCGATCATAAATCATGTGATTAATATCAAGCAAATACCGTCTGGAACAGGGTCCCAGTAACAAGTTAATGTTACTGGTGCGGCCACCAGTTCTCCTGCAGGAATTCAGGTCTGGACTCTGACCCAGCCACTGCAGAACCTTTGTTCTTTTTTTTTTCCTCTATCATTTTAGATCTGATGCAGTGTTTGGATCATGGTTCTGTTTAATGACCCAGTTTGGTCCAATTAGCTGCCAGATATATGGACTCATTAGTTTCAGGAAGACTTTGGTCTACAGAGGCCATCAAGGAGCCCAAAGCATCAGCCCTCCACTGCCGTGCCGACAGCCTGTACCAGCTGTTAGTGCTGATGATCGGAGTTAGGTTTTCAGTCAAACAGCGCTGTGCATTATGGGTAATGGTCTCTGCTTTGGTTCTGTCTTTTCCAGAAGTCTTGTGCTTCTCTTAGGGATGTACGTAGTCAACCAGTTAACTGCCGTTAAGGTCATAACCGGTTACAACAGCATCACCTGGTTAACTGCAGGTCACGTCCTTCATCTGCGCTGGTGTGTAATATCGTAGCAGTAGGATGCGTTGAGTCTGTAACGACAGCAAACTAAACTACATCCCACTTTTAAAGAAAGTGGAAGATGATCTTGCAATTTGGAAATCCTTACCGATATCACTCATGGGGAGGGTTGCTACAATTAAAATGATGGTTTTACCCACAATAAATGATGGGATGGGTTTGTGGTTAACGGACTGTTAGACCCTTTAGGTCGTCAGTGAGCGGTTAAAGAAATTTAGGAAAACTAGCTTCACTCAGATTTAGTAAACCTAAGCTGAGTTTCCTCGAAGTTTTCTTTAGAAAACCTTCATGAACCACTCACTAGTTTAGTCTTTTCATAACCATGCTTTCATGAACTAACTTCCTGAGTGTGAGGGGAGCATTTGTTTATTTTTTGCCACATCTCTGAGCAATGACCTCTGATATATCTCTGCTAACTTAAATGTTTTCCATGTTTAAATATGCTTTTTCTATCCAGAACAATAGACTTGTTTGGAAATTACCGTTGACCCTTTCCAGATTGGTGGAGCAGTAAACTTTTCTCCTCTAGGGGCGCTTCTGATGGGTTTGTGTTAACACACACTGGAATGAAATGTATCCTGATAATGAATAATAAGTGATTAGTTGTACCACTTCTGGTTTGTTGGGTTCAGCTGGTTTGGTTGTAACGAGTTGTTTGGATGGTAAAATGGCCAGTATTTGATATAGTGCCAGATGATATCAAATACCCCCCCCCCCCCCCCCCCCCAAGGCCCTTTACAACACAATCAGTCACTCACCCATTCACACACACATTTACACGCTGGTGGGGGTGAGCTACGATGTGGCCACAGCTGCCCTGGGGCGCACTGACAGGCAAGGCTGCTGAGTCCTGACACCACCCGTCCCTCCGACCACCACCGGCAAGCAAGGGGGTTAAGTGTCTTGCCCAAGGACACAACAACAGACTGAGCGGGACTCGAACCTGCACCCTTCTGAATACCGGGCGAGCACTTAATTCCATTCACCCATTGTTTAGGGAACATTTAGAAAACTTTTTCTTCTCAGATTTGTGAGTTTGTGTGTTTTAAGAAAACTGAGGTGGTTGCTGGTAAGATGCTTTTAGAATAACAGATCAGGGAAACTCAGAAGAGCTTAAATGTTTCCCAACATATTTATATCTGACTGAAGACCGTTCCAATCAGCTGGTCTCCTACCGTTTTCATTGTCTCTAATCCTTCCCTGGAGCTTCTTTACACTTCCATGCGGGACGCTAGAGCTCTGACTTAATCCCCAAGGTGCTGTACGAATAATCTTTCCTGTCAAATCTCATGTGTACTGAAAGGAAACGACCGTATAGTTGCAGTTCAAAGCAATGTTTCACTGACTGGAACTCGAGTAATTCAACTACAGCAGGAAAATGTCTCAGTGTAGAAACAACAGACTTGATGTGATTCAGATGATAATGTTTGAGTGTTTTATAAACATCTAAACAACGTTTTATTAACTGCAGTAATGATTCATCTCACTAAGGACACGATGTGTGGCTGACCTCAACCTCAAAGCTTGATCTTCTGATAAATAGATGGTTATTTTGAACCACTTACCATTGACCCAGTTAAATAATGCTTTCACCCGTTAGATAAAACGAAATGAGTCACACAGTGTTAACGAGGAAAGACGAGGTGGCTCGGCAGAAGAGCAAATCACTGAAAGAAATGTTTCCCACTCAGGATTAAATAAATATATAAACACCTGTGGAAGTTATGAGGTCACCCAGCAGCAATTCATCAGTTCAATAAAGCTAAGCCCAGAAACATCTATTCAAAATCTAAGCTTCTAGTCTGTTCTAGATGTTGCCCGAGTCTGTTCTAGAGTCTGTTCTAGATGTTCCCCGAGTCTGCTCTGGAGGTTGTTCTGGAGTTTCCTGCTGTCATCCTCTGACCTCTCGTCCCACACAGAGAACGACGAAGACTACGATGACCTGAACGAGGCGGTGCGGTTGGTAAAGGAGGTGATTGCAGCGGTGGACAGCAAGGTGAATGACCACGAGAAGAAATGTCGTCTGAAGGAGTTCCACAGCCGCATGGACAGCAAGTCCATCATGATTTTGAAAAGCGGCCAGATGTTTGCCAAGGAGGACCTGGTGAGGAGAAGGCTGATCCACGAGGGGCCGCTGCAGCTGAAGAACTCCCAGGGACGACTCAAAGGTGAGCTGCAGGCGCACGTTTGACTTTTGTCTTTGTAATCGTGGAAGTTTTGGTAAATAGTTTTTGTCTGCTTTGGTTTGTTTCCAGACGTCCATTCTCTGTTACTCTCAGACGTCTTGGTCTTCCTGCAGGAGAAAGACCAGAAGTACAGCTTTGCCATGCTGGTAGGTTCTTGCTATCATTTCTAAGACCCCTTCAGTAGGGATGCACCGATGGATCGGCATTTGATCGTAATCGGCCGATAGCGCCCCTATCGGTTTTGATCGGAGTTTTCAAAATAGATCAAAGCAGACCGATCAGGTAGGGTTGTCACGGTAACCGATGTAGTGGTAAACCCCGGTAAAAAAGTTGACAATAATGATAACCGTCTTGTTTAAAAAAAAACTATATTATCTCGGTGGATCACCGTGGCTGCGGTGTAGGCGCGGTGACCCTTACCAGCCACCGTATCATCTGCTGAAGTTGCCGGCGGCACATGCGCGCTTTGTTGTTTACAACCAAAACTTTCTTGAAGCTAAAGCTGAAATAATGGCCAAAGGAGGAGACGGCAGCACTCAGGAGGACATTTTTTATCCCTCAAAGAAGACAAAGACGGAAGTACAGGCATCTTTTGGATATTTGAAGAATGCCGTCTTCTATCAACTGTCCCTCGGCGAGGGACAGTTGATAGAAGACGGCTATCCTGTTTGCAGCGCGAGCAGAAAAAGTGTCTGTGAAAGGCAGCAACTCTTCAAATCTCATGACACATCTGATGACCATCACCCACAACTCTACAGTCAACGCAAGGCAAGCTAACGTTAGCGTTTAAGCTAAAATGTGTGATCCGAGGATTTGGGTTGAGGGAGAATGCAACGAGTCGCCATATAAAGCAGCCGCAGCGCCGCTACCTGCATATAAACCGTGTCGCGGACACCCCCATATTGAAATGACGCTATGCATTACGGGGCTCCCAGGGGCAGATAAGAGTTGGTCTCTCTCCGAGAATAATTATGAATTTAACAATGATTACTGCCTGATGACATTTTCCCACATCTGCAAAGCTCACTGGAAGGACACAAACCGAGGACAATATTTTCCTGATATAGGGTTTATTACTCAAGTAAGGGTAAAAAAGCATCTGATTAGAAGACTACTTGAGTACCGAGTATCATCTGATCTAATATTTTTAAAATGATGACATCAAACAGACAAAAAATGAGAAGTTATGGGCAAATATTGGTATTTTAAAGACTAAAGGGGAAAAATGTAAACAAATAAACAACATAATTACAAAATAACACATTTTAGGCAAAATTTAGACACAAACTGAGGACAATATTTCCTGACATACAGGGTTTATTTAATTGTGTGAAAATGTAGCACGTTTAAAAAAAATACCGCGATAATACCAAAAACCGTGATAATTTTGGTCACAATAACCGTGGGGTTAAATTTTCACACCGTGACAACCCTAATACAGACCATTTTAGATTAGGTTACATTTCCTTTATTCCCAGATTATGTAGTTTGTAGCACTCATTATAATGCTGTAGAAAATTTCTGGCCAATCCACGTGATCGGTATCGGTGATCAGCATTCTTTGATATCGGTATCGGTGATCGGCAGCAAAAAACCTGATCGGTGCACCCCTACCCTTTAGTAGTGAAGATGGGATGCAGTCACACTTTCCCACTGCAGTGGTGTTGCTGTTAGCATTAGCTGCTCGTCCTGCACTTCCCACTGCCTTCTTCTCACACCCTAGCTGAACCATACAACGCTTATCTTGCCTCAGGCTCCTCACCCAGCTGTGGGAAGCCTCCCAGGTTTGAGAGGCTTTTCCTTGTTTACAGAACTCACAGTTGCATGCCACGGCACTCTAGAGATGTAGAGAAGGACAGACTTTGGTGTTTAAAAAAGTTTTTATGACAGCAGTTTGCATAAGCTCCAGAACATCGCCAGGATCTGCAGACGTCCTTCTATTGTTCCTCCCATTAACACAGATAAACGATGAAGACGGGGCTGAAGATCCCTCTGTCATGCTGGTTATTGTACTTCCTCTGTTTACCTGTGAGAAGTTACGTGCAGTCATCATAGCCTTGCACAAAAAGGGCTCACGCGTAAATCAGCCATGAACACAAATTCCACCGCATTTCAGCCACAGTCTGAATCAACTGGTGACATCATTAGTGCGAGTGGGAGCTGCAGTGGATGAATGGTAAAACAGAAAGTGGGGGAAACAACGTAATAAGATCATCCAGCTGATTCAGTTTGAAGGTTTTAGCTTTGGTCTCTTGTTTACAGTGCATTGGCACTAGGAGCAGAGACAGAAGAGCCTTAACCTGTTTATTAGACCTCAGGCGTGCGGTTTGCAGGGAGAATGTTGGGATGTGGTCACAGATCACTCTGACTGTATCAAACAGCGGTTTGTGGTGTTGAGCTAAAACCGGCGGCACAGACCGAGCAGCCTTAAAGGTCCCACTCATCATTTCTCTCTATTCGACATCATTTTTATTTTTGCCCATCTCCTCACTGATTGTATAATCCCTCCTTCTGTAAAAAAAACACTTTTCTCTGCCGCTCTTTGGCTGTCTCGTCATCTGTAATTACTCCCTCCCCTCCTGTTTTCTTGTGCAGCATCCCACCCTCCTTCCTGCTCCTCTCATCCTCTCTCCTGACCCTCCCAGTGTCGTCCCCCTTTTCATTTCTCTCCTCCCACACTGGCTCCATCAAACCTTTCCCTTCATCCTCACCTCTCCTCTCCCCTCAGGACCAGCGCTCCACAGTCCTCTCCCTCCAGAAGCTAATTGTCAGGGAGGTGGCTAGGCAAGAGCGCGGCCTCTTCCTCATCACGGCAGGCACCGAGAAGCCAGAGATGATGGAGGTTCTGGCCAGCTCCAAGGAGGAACGCAACACCTGGATGCAGCTCATCCAGGCCGCCATGCAGTCTATGTGAGTTGGATTTATTTAAGTGCTGATGAAAGTGCTTCTGGACTTGGGTTTTTCAATAATCCCACTATCAAACTGCTGCTAGCCTTCGTTGTTGCTGAAGTATTTAACTTTTCCCTCAAATATTGTCTTAATCTTCTTGTTATTCTACCTGTAATTCACCTGAAACTCCAGGCTGACTCGTTAGAATTCATCCGTGCTTATACCTGCGTTGTAAACCAGGAGCTAGACCCGGCCCGGGTCTTTGGATGGTAATATAGAGTAAGTTGTGACAAAGTAGTGTGCTGTCGGGAGGATTAGCGCTCCTGTACCTGGGGATGGGATGTACTCACAGACCATCTAATGCTGGCTTGGCTGCAAGGGCAGCTCACTATAAGCAGAGGATTATGCTAGTGTAGCCGGGGGAAGGAGAGAGATTTTCTTCTCCACCTCGATCCCTCCATCTGACTGCTGTCACCACACCAAACTCAGCTAGGAGATTGCAACAAAGTCTGCTTGCCTCTCCCTGGGTTCTCTCCTGCCGTGGTACACGTAATTGTCTTCATCTGAAGTTAAACTAGAAGATTTTACAGAGAAGGGAAAAGAGGTGTTTAAGTCTGGAAGATGTCAGAAGCTGGTGGTAATGAGTCTGAGATGTCACAAACGGAGATGTTAGGAGTGAAAGATAAAGATTTATTTATTTATTTTTACGGTTTTGACCATTATTGTTGATCATGAAGCATTTCTGTTGGTCAGCTTAGCCTGCTTAGTATCCGGATCAGGCGTCGGTGGGACGGTGGCACAGGAGTTAAGTGCTCGCCCCGTGATCGGAAGGTTGCAGGTTCGAGCCCCGCTCAGTCTGTCGCTGTCGTTGTGTCCTTGGGCAAGACACTTAACCCACGTTGCCTGCTGGTGGTGGTCGGAGAGACCGGTGGCGCCAGTGCTCGGCAGCCTCGCCTCTGTCAGTGCGCCCCAGGGCAGCTGTGGCTACATTGTAGTTCATCACCACCAGTGTGTGAATGTGTGTGTGAATGGGTGAATGACTGATTGTGTTGTAAAGCGCCTTGGGGGGTTTCAAGAACTCTAGAAGGCGCTATATCAAATACAGGCCATTTACCATTTTTTACCATTGTCAGGCTAATCAGGCTGTTGGTGTTTTAAAATGTAAATGCCATTCTCTGGAGCTCATCCTGTTCATTTTACTGGAACAGGGAAAAGGACGAGGATGAAGGGATTCCCAGTGAGACGGAAGATGACAAGAGACAGCTAGAGACCAAAGCCAAAGAGATGAGAGGTAATAAACCACATGTCGAATGTCGCCGAGTGGACGACAGCAGGGATACATTTCCTCCAGATAGCATCAAATCTGTCTCTCTGCTGCCCAGATATGTTGAGGCAGAAGGACACAGAGATCATGTCTCTGTTGGAGGAGAAGGTGCGGCTCTTTGAGGAAATGTGGGAGGGCTCGAGCCCAGGCGAGGAGGCCTGCCGGCAGGTCCAGCCTTTCTTCAGGTCAGCCTGCAGCCAGGAGCCGCCCCGGGGGGCGTCCATCATGAAGGACGCTCTGCATGAAGGTAAGACAGAGGAAGGAGCCTCCTAATGCATGTGCACGACGAGGAAAAGCTGCATGTGTCAGCTTCTGTTAAATGAAGATGGTTATACTGAAATGAGCTCAAACAAATAGCTGCATGTTCCACCACACATGCTCCTGCTGTTCCCCTGACAGGTTGTATAAGAAATGATGTTTGTGTCTGCTCAGACCCTAACCCGATTACCCGATACCCCACACACCGCCATCAGAAAGCATGCTCCAGCCATCAGACGCTGAGTTACCGTAGCCAGAGGTCTGATTCAGATTCAGAGTTTGTGTTTCTGAGTGTTCTTTTTAAATATCCAACTACATAAGAAAACACAGATCCTCTTAAACAAGCTAGCGTCCCATGGCTCTCCTCGTTTCACCTGAACAGGAGGAAAACATGAGTAACCATGGTAAATAATCTGGACCTCGAGCTAATCTGTGGAGCAGTGTGCTTTGGTTTGAGTTCTGCAGTAAAAGGACTTCAGAGTTCATCTCAAGCTAGTGTTTGACTGAGCTGCAGCTGTTGGTAACTAGTTAGAGACAGAGGTGCAGGAAAATACTCTCGTGTTGTAGTAATCTCTCTAGAGCGATATACAGTACACTTAGGTGGTGCGTTTTATACATTTAATCTCAGATTAGTCGCCAGGTGTCTCAGTTATGTCTGTTCTATAAAAGCACATCCTTTTATTTACAATCTGGCCACTAGTTCTCACATTTCTCTCACTTTTACTTCTCTAAATTAAGAAGGATTTCAGACGCACAAACCTCAGCAACCGTTCGCCGTTTTAGAACCCGCTAAAAATCTCTGTGACCTGAAGGAAGAAGAATTCAGTCCAGCGGTTAGCTAGCTTTAATCCGGTACTTTCCTATTTCCCTTCAAACAGAAGGAGTCAGGCAGCCCAGTTCACCAGTTGTGTTTTAGTGGAAAGCAGCATGAGCTTAGAAGTGAAGTGGCGTGACAAACAGACTGATCTCTGGACAAAAGCAGCCCATCTGAATCACAAGCGGTCAGGAGACCGATGTGGGTCTTCCAGAAGCACTGATTGTGAAATGATCCTTCTTTTATGTGAAGGGAACAGTGCAAATGAGTAAAAGTGCAGCGAAGCTGTAAATAAGCCAGATTTAGGGGAATGCTCATGGTTGCTTCCACATTAGAAGCAGCATGGTGTTTAGCACATTTGCACTTTAAACGGTACAAGCAGCTCCTAGAGCCGAGTTATTGTGGGTTTCACTGGAGCTTCAGATTTCTGAGTTCTGCTGCAGGCAAGAGAAGTTGGCTCAGAATACCAGTGAGGAAGAATCTGGGTCATCTTTTGTGCAGAACAAATACATGTAGACTTCTAACTCCCCCCGATTAAGCCGGCACTGCAAACCATCCTAACTATCGGTGTTGGGAGAATGTCTCATGAAACTCGGGACAGCGATGGGATGGGAGGTACATCTGGAGCATAATAACCTTTGGGGTTTGTACAGTTAAACAGATAACTTGGCATCTGTAAGCAGTTTTACAGTTAAGCACACCTTTATGATTCAGACTTATGGACAGCTCCGTCCCGGGGATTTTAGACAACCTTGAAAAATATGGAATTAGTTTTACATTTTCTAGTTCAGTCTGAAAATACGGTGTTAGTTTGTGTGGGCCCTGTAACCCGTGTCGGTGTAACTTTTGTCGACTCCTGATCGGAGCTTGATGATGAAGTCTGTAAATGTAGAAAACGTGACAAAAGTGGATTTCTTTGTTTTATTTTCTGATGCATTGTTCCTGTCAAGTTTCTCCTGTGGTTTTTTTTCCTTTAGCTGTTGACGAATGTGAAAGCTGCTTGCTCTGTCCTAGTTTTCCATCTTCCCTGTGAGCTGATACCAGTGTTTATGAGGTTTTAGTGCAGAGGTCTGTGGATCAGACCAGTTGACAGTAGTTGCTTAGCAACAGGAGCTAGTAACAGGTGGAGACGCTGCTGCTGGGTTCAGAGTGCTGATCTATAACACAGTTAGCCGGAATAATTCACTTACTGACCTGTGCGTGCGTGCGTGTGTGTGTGTGTGTGTGTGTGCATGCAGTGGAGACGTTACAGACGCTGGTGAACGGCAGCCTGGGGGGAGCGATGGCCAGCGTCCATGAGGCAGGAGGCTCAGGGCCCGTGTGTCTGCCCCGTCGAGCCGAGACCTTCGGGGGCTTTGACAGTCACCAGATGCACAGCAGTAAGAGTAAGTGTGTCCACTGGTGTGCTCTGATCAGGTCCTGGATCAGAGGAGATTGTTGAACCCGTTCTGTGTGTCAGAATAAGAGCGCCGGGCCGGTGACCGGACTGCAGATGAGCGCCGGCGCTGCTGAAAGGCCAGAACTGTTTTATAAGAGTCTGATCTTTAGACGGAGCAGACCAGCAGGCGCCACACCCAGCACATCCCATAATGCCCTTGTGCTGGAGCTGTCAGCTGGCTGAGGAGCGTCCTCCACACCCCGACAGCAGTGGAGCTGAGCCTCTCCTCTGATGGGAGATTTCATTTCATTTCATCCTAGAGGAGAGAGAAGCAGGAGAGAAAATGTAAACAACAACAATTAGACTCAGCATCATTCTGATTCAGGCAAACAAACACTTTTAATAAACGTGAAATCACCCAGGAGAGAGAGAACAAAACCAGAGGAGTTCCTCCTGTGTGGATGGGGGCTCTGAGGCAGCAGTTCTAGATTATTGCTATTATAAACAGATTTTATCACGCAGCTTATTCTACATCAGTCTGCCTCTGATGTGAACTAATTATTAGTGTTATTATTGTGTTTTTAGATTACATTAATATCATCAGACTCAGAAACTGATGAAAAACAGGGTAGACTCCAACTCAACGTGCCTCTGTGGAATCTCTCCCCTTTTATCAATAATCAAACTCGGACTGGACAACAGTGACATCGATAGACATCTGCTGCTCTTTCCTTCCCTTGTTCCTGACTGTGAGAGTGTGTGTGTGTGTGTGTGTGTGTGAGAAGGACTGAAGAGTCAGACTAAGAAACACCCACCTCCAGCAGAGAAACGTCCGGGAGCTCTCAGAGACCTAGACCAGGACCGAGGCGATGCAGCGGGGTCAGGGCCCCTCTGTGGGCTGGAAAACACGTTTAGGGCCTTGAAACAAACTGTAGCGATCAAATGAAAGTAATTCCAGCTGATATACGTAACATGTGCAGTCATTTATGGTCTATCATTAATGTATTATTTAGGATTGTAGCGTTGTTTAGTACAGCCTGTAATCATTGAGGTCTCATGCATTTGAATTTTATGATTCTAAAGCTAAAGGTTTTGGAGCCACTGATGTCAGATTTGAGCTCTTTTAGCAAAAATCTGATGTTCTGTGTCATCTTTGTTGTTTTTCTATATTCTGCTAAATCCTCTTTGTGGGAGCGTGCTGCAACAACACGCCAAAAGACGCCGCGTTCTCTGCTAACTCGTCAGAGTTGAATGTACTTAGGTCCATTTATCACATTAAAGAGGCTAAATTAGATAGTTGACTAATTAACGTGATACAGAGCTTTTGTTTTGGACCGAGGAACATTTCTGAACTCTTCCACAGCAACATGAATGTCGTGGTCACAGCACGAATCACCTCCAGGTTGGATTTAGAAGGACATCTATCTGTTGTTGCACCTGAGGTCTGACTCTGTCCCCTCCTTGTGGGTTCTGTCCACAGCAGGCGGAGACAGAGATGAGAGCGAGGACACGGCAGGAGAACTGCGTAGGACAGAGTCCGACAGCGTTTTAAAGAAGGTCTGTATGCTGGCTTCTTCTTCTTGACTCAGAGAACTGGGGGGGGGGGGGGTTATCCTCCTACATTAATGACACCATCAAGATTAGTTTAGCCGCTCCCCCTCCAGGGAAGTATCCTCTTGACTCTTCCTGCCAGCGCCTGTTGCTACTGACCCCATCGGTTGGATATCTGTCCAGTGGTGGGCATGAACAGAGATCCGGAGAGTTGTGGTGCTGCTGGCGTAGTTCCATCCTGATTCCTATCTGTTACTCTACTAACCAAATATTTACTCCTCAACACTTTTCTTCCGTTGGCTTTGTTTGTCACCCGTCAATGCTTCAGATCAGCAGATTTAAGAAACAAAAATACAAAGTTTTGAAATTACCGTTTCATCGATTGACGATCAAAGATGTCTAACCCAGTTGGTGTTGGTTTTCCAACGTGCCAACGTAGTTGTCCTGGACCCATCTTGAGTTAACTGAGATTAACCACATTATGAGTAAAGCTGAGTTCAGTTCCCCCAGCCACGCCCAGACCTGGTCACTGCCGCCTCGGTAGGACCTGTCTGACAACACGAGGTAGAAAGCAATACGTCAGGCCTTGTTCTGGAACAACAGAACCCAGAACAGCATCTAAAGTCCTGAAGGACTCGCTTGGTTCCCGTCAGAGGTCACGATCGAACACCAAGAAAGAGACGGGGTGGTAATTGTAGAATGAAGGTAGGGTTTCACGTACAAACTCTGCTGATTAGAAACAACACAGAGTCTCACATACATGTTGCCTTCAGGGAGGTTTCCTGGGATGAGACTCACTTCCAGTTACCACAAACACCAAGAGGGTTAAAACCGGTTTAGGGGCCAGTCCTAAGCCAGGTGGAGAGCTTTGTTGCCTTCAGACATGAGACCCGCCTCAGCTTCTTGGTCTGATACTGAAATCTGAGACCATCTTTAAGGTGGTATTTTTATTCTTTGCCTTTTATGCGTTTGAAGCAATTCCTTGTTTGTTCTTTTTCAATGTGCCTGTTGTGTCTGAGCCTCTGGTTCTTTTATATTCTTAAATAGTGTTTTATAAATAAGTTGGTACGGTATGTTCGTGTCCCCTGCTCCGTATGCAGCTGCTGAGTTCAGGTGAACATTGTTTTCTGCTCTCCTGCGGTCTAAACTGAAGCAAACAGAACGTTTGTTTTTCCGAGGCAGAGTTGAAAGTGTCAGCATGAACATGAACCACACAGAGTTAATCTAAACATTAGTTTACATTGTCTTCTGATCAGCTCTATAAACACAACAGAGATGTAACCAAAAGCTGCTTGTGCCTTCACACCTCCATGACTACAGCTGCTGTGCATGTGCAGCTTTCCTTAAACACAGCCTGACTACATGCTTCACACGTGAAAGCACCGTTTGTGCTCTTCTCAGTGTGTGTTCTTGTGTGTGTGTGCAGGGAGGAAACGCCAACCTGCTGCAGCTGCTGAAGAGGAACAGTGAGGTAACTCCACCTTCCTGGCTCTGAGTTCACTTTGCGCCACTGTTGACGTGGAAACGGTCAAACCTCTGTGTCAGCATCACCGCTGTCAGCATCGTGGTGGTTTAGCAGCTCAGAGTTAGTTACAGCACATTACCCTGACCCTAACAAGAACCAGAGAGTGAAGTTTGTCCACAGGACTCTGCTAATACCACACCAGACGTGTCCACTAAGGAGGGTGTGCTCAAACACGAAGGGGGTTCAGTCACTCCGGTTCCTCATCGTATTTCAACACATTTTAATGAAAGGCCTGCTTCCATCCCTGCATGTTGGTCTGGTCTGTTTTTTTAATATTTGCAGATTTATAAAACGTGTTGTTGTAAACCCAAACAGATCCCGGTTCAGGTGATCTCTGTGTCAGATGGTAACAAACGTTTGGGGATCAGAGGCTTAGTCCACGTCTCATCGTTTAGTAGTTAGACTACATGTTGTAACACGTGATCACATTCATGGTGGCGCCATTGGGAAAACTGTTGCCTTGCAGCAGAAAGGTTGCTGTTACAACTCCTGCATATGTGGAGTTGCCATGTTCTCCTCATGCATGTGTGGGTTTTCTTCCACACACCCAAAACACGCACGTCAGGTCTGGATAGCTAATGTGTTCATTTTCTCTACCAGGAACTGCATGTTGGACAGCAGCTGTTAAGACTTGACAACAAGGCTACTTTTCTGTTATCCTGGTTAGCATTAGCAGAGCTAACACCAGTGCCTCTCCTGGCCCCCATTATGGTTTATGTTCTAGTGACTGAAGACAGAAACCCGTTTAGCTCAACCCTCTCCTGTTCAGTGGAGATGCACAGATTCTGGTTTTAGAGGCCCAAACTGATGTCTGACACTTGCACAGCTCCAATAATGGGCTGATTCAGAATTTGCTCAAAAAACTACTACAGACTGGACCATTGTTAATTATCCATTAGTGCTTAGTGACGGTGAATAAGGATCAAAAGGATTTAAACATATGATCGCTTGGCCAGAAAGATGGTTTTCACCAGTGAAGCCTAATTTTGGCCATTTGAAGCTACTAGCTGCTCATTGTGCTTGTATGTGTATGTGTGTGTGTGTGTGTGTGTGCGTGCGTGCGTGCGTGCGTGTAATGTCAGCGCATCACATCCAAACGTGCTGTCTGAGAAGTGATTTCTTGCAGCTCCCAGATCATTTTAACATGCCGGCAGACACTTGCTGCTGAGAGCAGGTCGCCGATCTGGTTCTGTTGTCTGTGCCTTAAAAAAGAAAATGTCACATTTATAAAGTGATTGTGTTATTGTTTCTGTCAAAAGTTCACTGGTAAATACGTCACTGCTGCCTTGAGTGATGCGTGTGGAGCCAGCAGCAGCAAGAGCTTCAGACCAAAGCATGGCTCTGAACCCAGCAGGTGGTGTGACTCTCATTGTTCTCTCTTCTTTCTAACAGCAGGTTCTCCACAGCGTCTCCAACCTGCATCTCCTGCTCAGCACTCTGCAGGTACACCTCCTCCCCACCACGCCTTAGCTTTTTGCTGCCACTGTGAATATGAACTACTTCTCTACTTGTGTGGGAACGAATGCAAGTGTCTGACCTACAGATAGATATAGTCATGTCTGACGTGTCTCTGTCCATCTCAGGCGGTGGTGGTCCAGCAGGACAGCTATATAGAGGATCAGCGACAGGCCCTGAGTGAGCGCTCCGCCTCCTGTGCGTCTTTGTTGCGGCCCTCCTCGCGTCCTGGCTCACTGATTGAACAGGAGAAGCAGCGCAGCCTGGAGAAGCACCGGCAGGAGCTGACATCCCTGCAGAGACAACAGGCAGCTCACGCTGAGGAGAGGAGGAGGAGGGAGAGGGAGTGGGAGCGCAGGGAGCAGCATCTCTCTCAGAGGGAGGCGCTGGTGCACTTACAGGTAACCATGCATCGTCTTCCTCTGGCTCTGAGCTGACACGCTAGACTGGTTCCCCTGCTGAAGCTTTATCAGTGGAGTCATGAGGACGGGTGTGTGTTAACGCTGAGGACGGGTGCATGCTCATATTTACAGGTGCTGGTCATAAAATTAGAAAATCATGACAAAGTGGATTTATTCCAGTAATTCCATTAAAAAAGTCACGGGGACCCTCTTCCTCCCTTCAGAGGCTGAGGCCGGTGAGACGCTTCGCTCCTGCAGCACCTTCCATTCCTGTTCCCATGCTCTCCTGTATTTTTAATTCTAAACTTACAACAAGATGTCCAGACACACATCTGAATCCTTCTGTCAGCGCTTCTCCTCAGGAACATCCACACACGACGCTCACCTCCGCTGACTCAGTGACGCAGGACACTGATTTAAATACCGTTCAGACAGCAGTCGCTGCCAAAAACATCAGATGTGTATAGGAATCGGCACCACATATGAAAGTGACATGGATCGGATCTGTGCATTTTCGTAAAAAAAATCAGGGAAAAGAATCGGATTTGATGCGCTTTTGCATGCAGTGTGAGCATAGCCTTAGATTCATTCATTACACACAGACAGATATATTTCTAACGTTTATTTCTTTTAGTGTTGATGATTGTAACTCACAACTAATGAAAATCCCAAATTCAGCATCTCACAATATTAGAAATCAATTAAGACCAATGCAAAAAAAAGGAATTTCATAAATGTTGGTCAACTAAAAGGTGTGAACATGAAAAGTATGAGCGTGTACAGCACTCAGTATTTAGTTGGAGCTCCTTTGGCCTGGGTTACTGCAGTAATGCAATGTGGTAGGGAGTCCATCAGTCTGTGGTACTGCTCAGGTGTTATGAGAGCCCATGTTGCTCTTCTGAATTGTTGGTCTGGCATATTGCATCTTATCAACACCCCATAGATTGTCTATGTGGTTAAGGTCAGGTGAGTTCTCTGGCCAATCAACAACAGGGATACCATGGTCCTTAAACCAGGAGGTAGCTTTGACACTGTATGCAGGTGCCAAGTCCTGTTGGAAATGAAATCTGCATCTCCACCATAAAGTTGGTCAGCAGCAGGAAGTATGAGGTACTCTTCCTGGTAGATGGTTGTGTTGACCTTTGACCTCAGAAAACACAATGGACCAACACTAGAAGATGACATGGCACCCCAAACCATCACTGGCTGTGGAAACTTTAGACTGGACCTCAAGCAACGTGGATTCTGTGCCTCTCCTCTCTTCCTCCAGACTCTGTAATGCAAAATTTACTTTCATCAGAGAACATAACTGTGGACGACTCAGCGGCAGTCCAGTCCTGTTTGTCTTTAGCTCAGGTGAGACACTTCTGACACTGTCTCTTGTTCAGGAGTGGCTTGACGCAAGGAATGGGACAGCTGAAACACATCTCTTACATATGTCTGTGTGTGGTGGTTGTTGAAGCACTGACTCTAGCTGCAGTCCACTCTTTGTGAATCTGCCCCACATTCTTGAATGGGTTTTGTTTCACAATCCTCTACAGGGTGAGGTCATCTCTATTGCTTGTACACTTTTCCTACAACATCTTGTCCTTTCCTTCATCTCTAATAATGTGCTTGGACACAGAGCTCTGTGAACAGCCAGCCTCTTTAGCAATGACCTTTTGTATTTTGTCCTCCTGGTGCAAGTGTGTCAGTTGTCATCTTTTGGACAACTGTCTTGTCAGCAGTCTTCCCCATGATTGTGTAGCCCACAGAACTAGACTGAGAGACCATTTAAAGCAAGTTTGTCCAAAGTGCGGCCCAGGGGCCATTTGCGGCCGTCACTAGCGTTTTTAGAATTAGAGAACCAAGTATCTCCTGGAGGCTGTTGATATAAATTCATATATTTGAATATTTTATTTTCAAATTTTACAAATTTTAGGCCTTTTTTGAGCAAATGAAAAATATAAAATAATGTTTGCATTCTTAAAAAAAAAGTTTTTGTGGCCCGTTTTAACTTCATGATTTAGGCCCTCATCTTGAAAGGTTTGACGTCCCTGATTTAAAGGCTTTTGTAGGTGTTGTTAGTTAATTAGCCAATTAGAGTGTTGCACCAGGGGTGTTCAATGTTGAACCTTTTCACAATATTCTAATATTCTGATACTGAATTAAGGATTTTCATTATCTGTCAGATTAAATCATCAAAATTACAGAAATAAACATTTGAAATACATCACTCTGTGTGTAATGAATGAATATAATATACAGGTTTCACTTTTTGAATGGAAATAATGAAATAAATCTACTTTGTCACCATAATCAAATTTTATGACCAGGAAGTGTTTTTGTTTGCACTTTGGTTTATTCCATGAACATTTTGTTTCTTAGAGTTCTGGCTGCATAAGTCCAACCTAATGGTTCTTGTTTCAGAACTACATCACCCATAATGCAGAGGGGCAGCAGCTTCTACAGAGTGGATTTACCAGGGTTTAGCAGAACAGTCAGAATATGTTACTCCCACCATGTGAAAACCCAGTTGTTTTGCTTCCTAAACTAGTGGTTTATGTTATTATTTTTCTATTCAGGAAGTTAAAATCACTATTTGTCTTTTATCTCATCCACTCAGCTGCATCTTTGTTGAACGGGTTAATTAGAAGGCTTCAGCTTCCATGTAGATTTTCTGTTTATCCAGTATTATATTCTTGTGTTAATATTAAACATGTAATCCTGTTTTCAGCATTAAGTCTCACAGATTAAAACCTGACATTTGTTGTTTGGTAACTTTCACATGTGAAAATTCACATATTTAACAGAAGGAACCTGATATTTATTGGGAATATAAAATATTACTTTAAAAAAACTGAATGTCCCATAGTTCATGTTGGCGTGGAGTTTAACTAAATAAATCTGCAGTTGTTTTTTTTTTTTTGGGGGGGGGGGGGGGGGGGGGTCATATCGGAATAAACAGACCAGAACAGTCCCGACGTAGAGCTATTATCAGTAGATGTGACTCACTGTCAGACCTCTTTCCATCCTGGATCACAGCTGATTTGTTCCACTGTTAATTCAACATGTGTTTTATCTAAATTCACAAGAAAATCCTTCGTATTTGCATATGTGAAGCTTCCTGTAACTGATGTCCAACCTTTTAAATTCTTCTTCCTTTAAAGGAAACAGGAAGTGAAGTGAACATTTCATAAGCACACGTCCGCTCTAACAGACAAATCAGAGGACTCTAAAGTATTACCTCAGCACCAGTAGAGCCTACGGTTTTTCTTTTTTTCTGCCATTAAAAGTGCCATTCAGGCTCATTTTATGGAACAGAACATTTCAACTCCTGAGACTAGTCTTGATGCTTTTTCCTGTGAATCGTCAGACACTCTTTATTCTGACCTTGAGCAGGTCACAGCTGTCTGGGTGTTTCTGTAGTCTCACAGTTCTGCTGCTGCTGCTTTGTGGAAGGCCAGAAATCTCTCCAGCAGCGTTACAGTAAAACTGTGCATGTCTCCCTCCCTACCAATGCAGGAGGAGCAGATGCAGAAGCTGCAGCAGGAGCTGGAGGAGGAGCAGCAGGAGCTGCACAGCAAAAAGGAGGAGTACCAGAAAGACCTGGAGAGACTGAGAGATGCTCAGAGGAAGCTGGAGAGGGACAAGGACTCAGTGAGGCGGCAGATTGACAAGATGGAGGAGGTTGGTCTGAGTGAGGTGAGCTGAAGGAGCAGCTCCAGGGCGGCCCACACAGATAACCAAAGTAAAACCTTTTGATTTGATTTTCTGAGCCAGAGCTGTTCTGGAATCAGGCATTATAGTTAATTAACATCAGAGCATGAGAATCAGCTGGCCTCATGACCATTCACTCACAGCTGCTCATGCGCCTAACCTCCTTCCTGTGCTTCCAGAGAACTCCCTCCACAACATCCGATGAGTCTCTGTTCCCCGGCAGCTCCCAGTCCCTGGAGCTGGACCCACTGGAGCTCTCCTCCTCCTCCTCCTCCTCCTTGTCCAGGTTACAACCCCAGCGCTCCAAAACCAAAGGGAAGGGCCTGAATCCCTTCGCCTCCACCTCCTCCAGCCTGAAGGGTGGCGAGGCCAACAATCAGATCTCCAAGAGCTTCCTGCAGCTGGGAAAGAACAAGAGCAAAGATGGGAAGAAGAAGAAAAAGAGCAAAGGGGGGACCCCCCAGACAGCAGGTACGGATGGATCCACATGAATTATTAAATGTACTAGTGAGTCCGAGAGCCGGAGTGTGTTTTATTGTGAAGGAGACTTCACGTCAGAAGCACAACATTTCATTTTGACTTCTGCAAAGAGGAAGAGACAAAAGAGAAGGATGTATGATGGAGGTCTGGATTCTGGTTAGACTGTATTGTTTCATGCAGCAGTGCATGCTGGGTAGACCAATTAGTGGGGCTACTAATTTAGAAATACTGGGGTTTCCCAATGATTCCAGAAATACTTTTTTCTGTTGGTTGTTGCGATTATTAGCCAACAAATAATTTGTAAGCTTTACTTACTCTTTGGATTCATCAATAAAATTCGTAAATATGGAAATATTTACAGATTTATTACGTAATTAGGATATCCGTGGATATGCCTTGGGGCACCACCCCCTTTAATAGGGGAAAAACGAATCTGACCCTCTATCAATCTGTCTAAAGTTCGTAAAATTCCTTTAACGAGCAGTAGTCGTATTTTATCCAGCACAGACAAATTTACTTGAGACAAAACTTAATTGGCAATAACATTAATGACTAATATGATCACCTTAGCTCCTTCAAAGTATTAGCCAATCAGTATCAACCAACTTATTTTAATCAAACGAATAACAAGCAATGAAACAATGAAATGATAATGTGACGTGACGTGATAATCTAATCCGATAGGTGGGGTAACATGACGTAATCAGGTAGTGATAGGTTGATTACCAAAATGGAGGGAGTTTTTGAAAACAAAATGGCGGATCTTTTGTTTGGCTGAACAAAGAACCGAACCGCGCGTGTGGGTGTGTGTGTGTGTGTGTGTTCAGCTTGTCTTTCCAAACGTCAAACTGCGATGTGGGCAAGCTTTCACAGTAACTTAATCAAAAACCCCTCAAATCGCTTCACAAAGCTCAAGAAAATAAACAACAGATCAATCAAAGGCAAGTGGAATATCTAAAACAGTCTGTCAGCCTGGCCACAGCATGAACAAACTCAGATATTAACAATAAAAAAACGGATCTTACTTTGAGGTGTCCGATGGCGTTTTGGTACGGAAAGAGAGAAACCGTCTCTTATTTTAAAGCGGTCACGCGGTCGACCGCTTGTTCTGGACTATAAGAGAAATCGGGAGAGAAAGAGAGAGGGAAAAAGAAAATCTTGTCAGCGAACCCGAAGCGTCCCTCGGTGTTCAAACGGACCAGATGGCGTTTTCCGTTGCTTCCAGCAGTCAGGCCTCGTGCCAACGCATCGGTAGAAGCAAAGGCAGCGTCTCTCCAAACCAGATGAAAACCCTGGACAAAAGAGAGCGATTTCCGCTCTGCGCTTCAGCTTTATAGATCCTCCAGCGGCCGGACTCTGGGGGGGCCGGCCGGGGTATGCGTTGCTTGATGACGTCATTAAGCTGCTGCCGGCTGCAGAGGATCATGGGAGATGAGGTCCCTGCTGACGCTGATCTCAATATGCCTTATTTATTTACGCTTCAGGGCGTAGATGGCAGTCTTTTGGAGAAAATACTGCGTAGTAATTTTCTCATGAGGGCAGGACCCCAACATGGTGATTCTAAAGTTCATCTTTTAAAAGATCCAGCTTTGGTCTGTGTCCGAATAATGTGGACACAGACCATAATAAACGATCTGATGCGTTAATCAGCTTTCCAGAATGACCAGAATCATTCTGGTCGTGATATTTTCTCTACATCCAAGCTTCCCTATGCTAGTTTCAATAACTCAGAGTAGAGGCAGCTTTAAGCCCAAATAAAATTCTCTTAAAACTTTCAACAGTTTATTTTTCACCATTTTAATGTGTTTACAGGTAAACACACAAAGGCAGTAAGCTGTTATTGTAACCGTCAACCACTAAAAACAACGAATACAAAGAAAAGTTGGGTCTCCAGAACTATGCAGCATAAGAGACACACAGACATACTGGTGTACATCAGGAATTGCACAAGTATTGAACAAATACTGAATATTACATTGATGTTATTGTGTACCAGGATAATGCCAGTATTAGTTAAACTGAGGAGTTGTCCACTTTTACTGCTGAGGGGATGAAAGACCTACGGTAGCATTCTGATTTACATCTGGAATGTCTCAGTCTGCCTCTGAAGGAGCTGTCCATGGTCTCCACAGTGGAACGCGGTGGGTGTGAGGGGCTTTGCGAGATGGAGCTCATCTTCTCCACCGTCCTCCTTTCACACGTCTCCTCAAATGAATCTAGTTAAATGATAAATGACCTGCAATGGTACAGCGCCTTTCAGAGTAAGGACTCCAAAGCGCTTTACACTACAGTGTATCATTCATCCATTCACACACACATTCATACAATGGTGGGGATGAGCTACAATTGAGCCACAGCTGCCCTCGGGCGCACTGACAGAGGCGAGGCTGCCGAGCACTGGCGCCACCAGTCCCTCCGACCACCACCAGCAGGCAAGGTGGGTTAAGTGTCTTGCCCAAGGACACGACAGCAGAATTCTCTGTCCGGAGCTGGGATCGGACCTGCAACCTTCCGATTACTGGACAACCCGCTCAACCTGTGGAGCTAGCTCTGCCCCGTAAGTTGGCAGCCCAGTTGCATGTGAACATTCTCAGCAGCAGCTAAAAGCATCCAGGAGTCACGTCCAGGAGGACAGTAAGGGTTTAGAACGTAACATCAGCTGGTAATCCAGGGTATCCGCAGGTCCTTAAAAAGTCTTAAAAAGTCTTAAATTTGCTTTTCCAAATTTAAGGCCTTAAAAATCATTAAAAATGACAAATAAACCTTAAGTAGTTTCCAAAGGTCTTAAATTACCAAAGACCCAATAAACAAGATTCTTTTATTTCTATAAAATTCTCGTGAATTTCTAGTTAGTGGTCAGCATTTTTTGTGTATGATATTGGCGTAAGCGGAACCGTACACATTCGGTCGGTTGTGACGGGGGCTATTTTTAGATGAGCATGCTAGTGGGAGTTTGCGCCATGGGGATGTGCAACATTAATGGTAACTGGATGGCTAATCCCACGTTCACGACGTGGTTAGCATCGGATCCAGGCAATAGCTGGAAATTATAGCTGAAATTTAATTTTAAAAAATTGCTTAAATTTGGTCAAAGTGGCCTTAAAAAAGGTCTTAAAAAGTCTTAAATTTGGCTCCCTTAAACCTGCAGATACCCTGTAATCGTTGTTTTGAACCAACACACTTTTTTCTGCACTCAGACCCGTTCCTAGCTCATCACACACACCTGGGAATGGCTGAAACTTTCCCTTCAGTGTTCACTTGTAGTTGTGTACATATGTGGCTGTCGTCTGCAGTCGCTGAATCGTCGCACCATCAGTGTGAACTGAAAGTGTAATCAGTTAAAACTGACTTTGGGTGCAGCTGCGGCCTGTTAGTGTCTGTAGGTTTCTGCTCCCGCTCTCTAGTTCAGTCGTGAATCCAGCAGCTGTGTTCCTGATTTGATTAACTCACATCCGAACCTTCAGACAGGTCAAAGTCTACAAATAAACTCCTGCATAGATCCAAGAAGTGTGTCTGCTGGGACTGGTTTCATCCATCAGAGGATGAGTGGGCAATCTGTCAGCGCTCTGGACCAGGAGGAGAGATGACTACAGCAAGAAAACCCGTGTCAGGATTATACGGGCCTGGCTGTTATTCTAAGACTAATGTGTAAAAAACACCATCCATCCCTCACGGAGACGGACGTGAAGCGTGTGGACGTTCATCAGTGAGCCACACAAAGTTAGCAGCACACCTGAATGCTGCTACTTCCTGGTTCTTCTGATTTCTGACTCCCCCCCCCCCCCCCCAGATCGGATTCATAAGTCATGCAGGTCACTGAGATGCTTCGTGGATTTGTTGCGATGTGTGAGTCAGGAAAGTGAATTATTTAGCTCTCCTAGATTTCAGGGGGAGCTGTGTTTACAGCTCACACGCACTTTTCAAAATAAAAGCATTGATGAAGCGGTTTCCTTAGCTGTGTGATGATGTCTGCTCTCCTCCACACAGATCCCCAGTGTGTCCCGGCTCCTCATATCGATGGGGAGATCTTCTTCTGCTGAGGCACTGTGCTGACCTTCTCCTCCTCTTAGTCATCGCCACGGACCTGCTACAATTCCCTGAGTGGAGTGTGTTCCTGCCAAGTGAAGCCCCCCCCCCCCCCCCCCCCCCCCAGACTCTACAAAGTGACATGCAACCGCCACACCGCTGGGATCCTCTTCGGAAGGGCCTGGCTAATTCTCCAAACCTCCTCCATGCAACAATAAAGGGAAAAGTTTAATTTTAAAGTGAAAAACCACTGATTTTAGTTAATAGAGGCGGTCATTTTAGGGTTTTATTATCCTGGGACTCAGTCATGACTCACATAACTGCCTGATTCCACAAAGAAATGTTTAAACCTCCTTATTTTTAGACACCATCTCAGTGAAAATGCGACCGGCCACCCTCCCCCCTTTTGGATGAAGCTCCGCCCACATAAGGGGCTGCTCATTCACACCATCAGGAGGTTTTTCCGTGTGACTTCAGCCAGATGCACAGACACAGCTGACTCCCACTGCCGCTCAGAAACGCATCTGAATGTCAGAGAATTCCACGCGGCACCGGAAAGTCCTCACCGCTAATCACATTCATTAGCTGCTAATTGAAGACTGCAACCACTGAAGGGAAATGCTGTTGTCGTGGCAACATTTCTTTATCTGCACAGTTTCCCTCCAATATGAAGCGTGATTACATCCTCTGAATTAGCCTGTAGTTTGTCAGCAGAATGGATTTGGCCGCTGATGGGTGAGGTAATCCTCTGTGATGGCTTCATGCCATCAGTCACAGCCCATGATGAGGTTTTCATGTATTTAAATCATGTTGTCTTCATTTTGGAGTGAAACTTCAGATTTTTTCAGACTGTGCAGTAATGAAAGGATTGAGCGGCGCTATCTCTCCGTGTCAAACGGCTCAATTCATATCCTTTTAGTGTGTTGTAGAACCATGGATGGATATTAGCTTGATCCCCGCGTTATCTGCCCGTCGGTGAGCTTTTCTGCAGCCCTCATCCTTCATCAGAGCGCAGACGAGGGGCTTTCCTCCATGTTTTAATTGCATGTAGCTCTGCAGGTGGCATACTAATGTCTGAACCTCTCACAGCTCTGCTTACAGAGTCGGTGCACGCACTGCTGAGGACGAATCTGTTGATTTATCAGCTTTTTAATGACCACATTTGAGTCTGATCATTTCACTTTATTCACTCTGTGTTTTTCAGCACTTTGGTCCCAAAGCAGTGATTGGTTTGTTTTTAATTGGTTTGAGTCGAGAGGATTTTACTTTTCTGCTTTGTTTTGTGTTTGTAGTCGTTGTTTATTCAAAGAGCGACGATGTGTTGGAGTAAAGAACCAGCTGGTGGCTCTTCTCATGTGTCTCTGGAAGGACCTGTCCTTTTATTTTGGACCCACCCAGCCCATGTTCAGGGCAGCACAGGTGCCTGCTGGACAGGTAGCCTCCCTCCCCTCCCGTCTCATTGAAGTCCCTGCTCGTGGACTCTGGATCCAGGTGGTACCTGGTCCTGTTAGCAGCTTACGTGGCCTGATGGATGATGGGTTTGGTGAAATTCCCCTCCCATTCCTTCAGGTGTGTTCTGACCACCAGGGAGCGCTGCACCTATAAACAAACTCCTCTCCCCTCCTGCGTCTCCCTGCCGCCGCACGTCTGATTTCCCAGCGGGTCACCGCCGTATGGAGAAAACGTGATGCTCTGTGACATTTCCCGTCTGCTTTTGTAATCGACTGAAGGAACAAATAAGTTGTCAGATTATAATTCAGAGAAACAGCTTTAATGTAGGGCGAAGACGAGGCTTAGACAAGCCCCTTTCTCCCAGGGACAATCAGAGCTCCCTCACCGATGGCCAGCCTGTCCATGAGACCGACGTGTCCATCAGGTGGACCCCACATAGCCTTAATGACTAAATGCACTAGAGTAGAAGCCAGCGTGTCCTCAGGAGGAATGAGGAGAGCTTTGATACCTCTGTTTTCAGTCAAAGGAAATGTTTGTACTAACTGGTACACTTTTGTTCCTCAGCAATGTAAAAAAAAAGGGCAAACTGTAAATATGATTAATGTATAAAACAAATCCAGTGTAAAAAAAAACTAAAACTAATGGTTTTGATTTGTGATCTATTGCAACATTTTGTAAGAATGTTTTATTTATGTATTCTCCTCATCCTCGAGTGGTGAACAACGTAAAGGCATATTTCTCACAATAAAAAAAATGATGATAATGCACATTCTGAGCACTGGTCTATTCCCACTGTGAGAGGACTACCTGCTCTGGTTCTACTGGGACCAGTAGAGATTTCTCTGCTTTTACAGCGGGACTCGTCTCTCCAGGAGTTAAGGTCTGATTCAAAATAGACCCAAAAGGTGGGGAGTGCCTAACAACGATATGACCCTGCTCAACTTTTCCAGGAAGACCTTAAAATGTTCATATAACTCATGAGAATGGTGCGAGGTATCAAACTGCTGCTTCTAAATGTGTTGTGAGCAGTTCAAACAAAGTTCTTAGATTCACACATAACGCTGTCAAACACACACTAGTCATGGAGGATCCAGTGGGTCCTTGGTGGTGGTCCTTTGGTCTTTTATTGTGGCGGTTTTGGAGAGAAGTACATCACCATGGTAACTCAAGGTGCCAAGAAGAGTAATGGTACACCTCTGACGTCGTGGGGTGGTGTGATGTATACTGCGAGTAGGGTTATGTTGGGCATGATGGAACAAACTAAATATCCTCCGTCAGCTGGAGGGGCGATGGTTTCAACTGTTTTGCTCTTCGCAGTCGCTGGGTCCACCTCAACCTTCTCTGGGTTCTGTTGCTGGGCCTGAGGCCTTCCATCTGAAACCGGGTCAAAAACAGAACAATGTTCATCAATCCGTTTGTGTTTCATTTGTGTTCTCGGTTCTCCGGTGCTCCATCTATTCTGGTCCTGGACGTTTTTAATTTTGTTTTGTTTTTGAACCGCTGAAAGAGAAAAACAATTAATGCCCTCATTTGTTGACGAGGTAATGAAATAGCAACTGCTAAATTCTGCTAACGCTTAGATTTCCTGTTCCTGTTTGTTGCGAGGCTGCAGTCTGAGCACCACCTCCGCAGGAAGAGGCTGACAAAGATCTAGACGGATTGACGGGAGTGTTGGTTTCTCCTGATAAAGAACAAGCAGCTTTCATCTCACTGCCCTCTGGTTACCTCCTCTCTGGAGTGGTGTCTCCATCTTAACAGGATTATTCTGTGATCAGATACCTTACGGTCACATTTTGAAAACAATTTCTTATGATTCCACATATTTCATCCATTCTCCAGAGACAAAACAGCTGGTTGGACCAATCAGTTGAACCAAAACAAATACGAGTTTGATCTGCTCGGGTCTGTTGGTGAGATTCCATACAGGGCTTTTCTGCTTCTGGTTGTCATGGTGATGGGAACAAGGAAGAACTTGGGGCTACAGATTGCACCAACATTTTTCCAAATTAGGAATTCCATCATATCCTGGAGGATGAAACTAAAAGCGGCTCATCTCTCACACACGAGTGTGTGAGGCCTGGACGAACAATGAGGAACAGCTGAGAGTTCATGTGCATTTTCAGACTCACGAATTATCTTCCACTGATGAGATAAATGTAGCATTGTTGAGCTAATTGCTGTCACGCGATAGCTCTCTAATTCTGTCTAATTGATAGTTTGAAAGCAGCTTTGAAATCGGTGGAGATAAAACCACCAGTTTAATCAAAGCGTCATCGCTGTCCAAAGGGCTGATCTGTTCCACTCACAGGACGTCCCCCTGCTGCACTCAGTCTCAGGACCATCTCTCGTCCACGTCCCTCCTCTGGACAGATCTGCAGGGACAGAAGTAAATCTGACTTCTGTTTAGAGTTTTTGTTTCATCTCACTTCTTCCTGTTGTGAGGTGACTCCTCTGGTGTCATTCAGATAAGTGGAACTGTATCTGGCTCCATACAGACTTGTTCTTCAGACAAACACGTTTGCATATCAGACAAAGTTACCTGAGTAAATACAAACTACAAAGTTCACATACAAACCCAACGGTTCACATGTGGAAGAATGTCTCCTCTTCTTCAATGAAGACCAAAGTGTGTCTATCGAGGGGCAATGGCTTCTGGTTGCCCCCTGGCGTGATCCTTTGCACCTCTTGGGGGGTGGGGGTGGCAACTTGGCTGCTCCTGCGATGGTTTTCCTGGGGTTTCCATACTCTGATAGCCTGGCCTGCCAGACTCGTCCTCTGTTTAATTCTGCACAGAGAAATGGTCTGGGAACTCTCCTATTCAAATAACCACGCCCCCTGAGAATTCTAACCGAGCCAATCAGCACTGAGTAGCGTACGTCACACACCACAACGCTGAGTTTGTCATAAACATGGCGACTGAAGCAAAGTTCACTGCGACTCTCGGTAGGGTCGGCAGCTATCTATTTAGCCAGCTGAAACATTTACTTTGTTTATAATTTAGTTGTAATGTTTATTTTCTGCAAAAGATTTATGTCTCTAAAAGTTATTTGAATTTGGTCTTTCCTAAACAGCATTTTAGTTGAAACTGCTCACAAATGGACTCACACTGGCTAAATAAATAAATAGAAAAGCAAACACATTAGACATTATATTTTTAACGGTATACCAATAAATGGTTAAAAACATAGTACTGGCAAGTGTAGCTAGAAAAGAAGAAAAAAGTTGGTGCCGTTACCGGGAGGCGAACCTGCGCAAAATTACATGCCAAGCTGACTGCACAACCACTTCACCACTACATCTGATAACAAGGTAGGGGCGTCACATGTAATTGTGCCATCCAGTGTGTTTTTGTAGATGGGATGTATGATTTTTCGGCGGTGTCTCAGTAGAAGTCGTTTTCAGAGATAATTTGTCAGACAATTCACAGAATATCCAGATTTTAGAACCAAGAGCAGACCCGCTTTGGAGGAGAGGACCAAAATGAAGCTGAGATGGGAGGAAAATGTGTGAATGAGGCCAAAAATGGCTTTGGCGTGTTTCTCATGAGGAAATGACAGTATAACATGGTAAAAAGTTCCAAAAGTTAGATTTTTTTATTATATGGAACCTTTACAAAAACGGTTCAGTTAACCTCTCAACTCCATCCTCAATCTTGCATTTTAGATGATACTAGCTATAACACCCTCTTTGGTTCCAGAATGCTATTAAGTCTGACAACTGGAAGGAATTGGACTGACTCTGATGGAATGGGCGGGGCTGACTCAGGGATGGGCGGGGCTGACTGGTGCAGCTCCGTCTTTGTGGTTCTGCAGCGAGCACTACTTGCATTCTGCTGCTTCTGGACCTGGACCACCTACTGTAACTGATGGAACCATGAATTTTGGGACAGTTAAATCATGTTTTTTCTGTAATTATCGTATTTTTACAATGATCAGGCTGCTTTTTGAGGAACACCTCGGTTTATTTTCAGACGTTGCCTTTTCATGGACATCAGCTCCTGAGATTAAGTGGCACTCTGACCTTACACACGTCTTCCTTCCATTTTAAGAACATTAAGATGACAGGT